ATTAAATTATTGCATAAACAAACTAGTGAGACAAGTTTTGAGGAGAGAGAAGTTTAGAGTCAGTCCATATTACTTGTGGACAGAACACTGCCTCCCTATATACTTCCCTCCTTTGGGGGCCCTTGTAAGGAAAGCTTCTTGCTAATTTTTAAGTACCATATAAATGAGACCTGTTATGTGAGTTGTCATAAATATCACCAACAGCAGTTAATGATAATGCCTACAAGTTTTTTAAATATGCTAAGATGTGGGTTTGTCTGAGCCAGGGGACTTGAATTAATTTAGAACCGTTAGTTTTTCCTTTACTATCTCCAAAAATACTTTTGACTTCATTTTCTTCTTAACCATAACTCTGCTACCTTTTTCAAGTCTAAAGATTGCTCTCTTTGACAAATAAAGACATGAAATATAAGAGGTGAGTAGTTCTCCTTCCTTTCTGATGTCCATTAGAAGTATACAATATATCTCAAATGAAAGATCTATTCCTTCTCCCTTCCTTGCTGAGTATCAATATCCTGTACCTTAACATATAGATATTAGGCTGTATATATTGTTGCTGTCTTTCTTCCCTGTATTTTCTCCTGTGAATTAAAGAGCATCATTCTTGTTTTTCTTTCTATGGGTGTCTTAGCTAATGTATTTTATAAGACCTGGCTCTGCAATTTTATCTAAACATTTTTTCCCTCCCCTTCTAATTTCATCTAAAAACACTCTTGAATAGATCAGCAAGTCTCTGGCCAAACACATTCTTCATAGTCCTCATGAGATATACTTCAACTTTAGCCAAGAGCTCATCTCATTTTGGAATTTTAAGCCATGATCTGGAATGCATATCCTATTCTTTTACACCGTCTATGTAACCAGCTGTTCATTTTCCACATCCTTTCCCCTCCATAGTCCCAAAAGTCACTTAGGAGCAGTAATAAAAATACACCATCTGTGCCCCCTAACACTTTTACCTGGTTTTTTTTTTGAGAGATAGTATCAAATCTTTTACATTTTACTGAAGAAAAATTCTGAAGAAAATTCTGTCCAGTTTAGACAAATCACTGAGATAAGGTGAAAACTAAGATTAGGATTCATGTTCTTAACTATGAATTAGTATAGCCATTGGTGTTTAATTCTATAAAGTTCACTGCTTTTATGGATCCAGTCAGGTCTTTGGTTTCATTTGTTCATTCAGCAAGCATTTATTATGTGTTTATTAAGTTCCTATTTTATGCAAAGCTAGGTACTAGCAGATACAACTGTACGACACAATTCCTGATCTTAAAGATATTTAATAGACAGCTCTCAAAAAAATATGCATAACATTCTTTTAAATTTAATTTGCATTATTAACATTTTCTCCATCACTTTCTCATATTTTTTTTAGGCAATTGGGGTTAAATGACTTGTCCAGGGTCACACAGTTAGTGTCAAGTTTGTGAGACTGGATTTGAACTCAGGTCCTCCTGACTTCAGGGCTGGTGCTCTATCCACTGTGCCACCTAGCTGCTCCTCTCCATCACTTTCTTAAGTCAAGACAATCAACCAAAAAAATAAATCAAGCTCTGTTTTGTGATGTTTGCTGATTTCTGAGGTCTAAATGCTCACATGGAAAGTTTAACAATGGGTTCTCTAAGCCAGCATCAGCCAACTCTAGCACACCATTGGATACAGATAATTAGGGATTGAGTACAGGGAACCTCAGATCCTAGGTAATCAAACCAGCTCAAGGATGAAGAATGTTTAGGAAATATGTAATGCCTCAAATCTGGGTTCAATGACCCAGGGAATTTAGAAAGTAGAGAAAAGGGAAATCTGTGGGGCCAGAGGCAAAGGTTTCTTAGTCTGACTGGTGCTAAAAGGGGGAACTGGTGCCCCTCAAGATGCTGATGTGGACTAGCAAGCCCTAAGGCTCAAGGCTGGATCCTTTATAAAGCTGTGTGTGAGAAGATTGCCTGCTAGGCTGGTGGTCATGGCGCCAAGAAAGCAGAACCATCTCATACTAACAGTACCACTGGAGTGGAAGTTGTCATGAGTGGGGAGGATGAGAGAAACGAGGTGGTTGAATCAAAGTCATGTGGCAAGCCAACCACAGGGCCACTGTTTAATTTCAGAATTGGATAACATCTTGATCATCTAGACCATTCCAATGACCAACACAATTATATCTTAGGGTCATAAATCTTGAACTGGAACAAACCTCAGAATATATCTCATCCAACTCTCTTATTTTATAGATGAAGAAACTTAGGGTCAGCCAGGCTAAATTTCCTGCCCAAGGGTATACAAGGAATGTGTATCCAAGGTGAGATTTGAACCCAGGTTCTCTGATTTCAGAGCTGGGACACTGTCCACTGTACCAGTACAATGTAGATCAGCTTAAGTACCTGATCAAACATGGATATATATTATTTACCTGTTGATAATTTTATTCTTCTAATTTTTCACCTTTCCAGTAGTTGTTTCAAATGCCTCAGATGACTCCTATGAAGGGGTGCCTTAACTAAGAAGTCTGGAAAGAATGAACATATGCCCTCTGTCCTCAAGGGTTGGCACACAAGTCTGTGAACTGGGAAAGAGAACAAAGGTTTTTAGATTGATAAACAAAGAGCGGAGATTAAAAGGCCTGGTTTCCTCTTCTCGGGATCAGCATACAACTATTTTTTAAAAAGATCAGAAAAACCAACCCCTCCCACTTCTGTTAGAAAGCTCAGCCTGGCCCTTGAGGAGCCATGATCAAAATATTTCCAAAGTGAGGCTTATTTTTAACTTACCTCCCAACAGTACAAATGAAAGAGAGAGAAGCACATTTGAATCTGATTTTTCAAATGTTGTTTTTGATTGGACGACTTCGGGGCTTGGAACACCCAAAGCAGGCTTACTATTGATAAAGGAGGAAGGAAGAGGGAGACTGAGAGCGGTAGGGTGTGGTAAAATAGCAGGGTCAATGTCAAAAAGAATGATGACAGCAAAGTTTGTTCAAGCTCTCCAGATAACAGATTCAGTTCCTTCATTTGGTAAAACTAAAAGGAAACAATTCAGACAGCAGAGAAGTGTTCTATGGTACCCACTGCGATACAGACATTATGTGGGAACAAAGAGAGTGTAGGCTGATATCTTGGCTTACAACAAAGAACCTGAATGTGGAGTAAGACTGTCCTAAACATTCCTTCATCAGAGAGCAGAAAGACTGCCTTCCACAGTTGAAGCAGCCCTCAGTCCTAGTGGCAATTAGACCCTAGTGGGGTCTTTAACTTTGCTGTGAAAAGAAAACCTTCTATTTCCCTTGCAGAGTACCAGGAAAACTCCCTGCCAGAAATAAAATTACCTTCCCGTGCCCCGTTCCCCACTGTTTCCCTCCCATTAACAGGGATTAAACTGTGCAGAATCCCATAGCCATTGTCTCATTGTTTTATTCTCATGATGATGATGGTGATGATCACATAAGCAGCTAGATGACACAATGGATAGTGTTGAACTTAGAGTCAGAAAGAACTGAGTTCAAATCCTACCTTAGAAGTTTACTAGCAGTACTGTTTTTGTTTAGTAGATTAGTCATACCTAATTTTTTGTGATCCTATTTGGGGTTTTCTTGGCAAAGATACTGGAGAGGTTTGCCATTTCTCTGGCTTCTGGCTCATTTTACAGATGAGGAAACTGAGGCAAACAGAGTTAAGTGATTTGCTCAGGATCACATAGCTAGTAAGTGTCTGAGGCTTTCCTGAGTTAGATCTTGGCATGTTTCACGTCTCAAAGTGTCAGATTTGATCTTACGTCCTCCTGACTCCAGGGCCAACATTCTGTCCACTGCACCACCTGACTGCCCTACACTAGCAGTGTAACCCTGGGCAAATCACTTAACCTCTCACAGCCTCAGTTTCCTCATCTGTAAAAATGGGGATAATAGCAGCTCCTTCACAGGATTGTGGTGAGGATCAAATAAGATAATATATATAAAATGCTTTGCAAACCTTATAGCACTATATAAATAAATGCTAATGATTATTCCTGATAGAAAGGTAGAGGACTGATTCCATGGTAGGCAAGGAGAACTACGCTTATTCCTTTTAAAGATTTAACTGTAAATGACCTAGACCAGGGGTGGTGAACTTGTGGCCTCGAGGCCACATGTGGCTCTCTAGGTCCTCAAGTGTGGCCTTTGACAGAATCAAACTTCACAGAACAAATCCCCTTAATAAAAGGATTTGTTCTGTAAAACTTGGAGTCAGTCAAAAGGCCACACACAAGGTCTAGAAGACCACATGTGGCCTCAAGGCTGCAGCTCCCCACCCTAGACAATGGTAAATGTTAAAAGAAACTGATTTGGCTCTCCCTCTGCATAACTGTCTTGAGGTTTTATGTCTCCAGACCAGAACTGAATGTGTCTACCCAGCCGGGCTCTGGGCTCCACATAAAGACTCTGTTAAATTCCTCTTGCAGATCTCAAAGAATTGTGTTTCTGTAGCAGCTCATTAAATGTCTAATTACTCCTAGTCTAATCACTTGGGTTCCAAAAAATTTTTTTATCCTGACTGTACTTGTCATATATATGGAACATGTTAATACTTTCCTCAAGGTTACCAGATTCCTAAGCTCTCTGCAATTTATTCATTATGATTCAGCCTCCCATTGCCAAGGTCACCCTGTTCCAGAACTGATGGCCTAAGGTACAGCTCAAAGGGTTGGCTTCAAGTTGGAAGCTGTCAGTGAAGTCTCCCAAGAAACTCACCTTCCTGAGTTAGATCTTGGCATGCTTCATGTCCCAAAGAAACCAATTCCTGTTATCATTATTATTGCTTTATTATTCATTAGCCAATAGTAGCAGGATAACAATGGAAACAAATTTAGGATAAATAACTCCTTTCCCCAAATCTCACTCTCTCTCTCTCTCTCTCTCTCTCCCTCTCTCTCCCTCTTTTTCTTTCTCTCTCTACCTCCGTTCTCTCTCTTCACTCTCTCTCTTCTCTTTTTTCTCTCACTTTTTCTCTCTCATTCTCTGTTTTTCAAACACACACACACACACACACACACACACACACAAAGCATCCTTCCCATCGATCATTTCTTCCCCATTCTCTGTTCAGTGGTACAAAAACTGGTGTGAAAGCAGTCCAAGGGATGATGCTGAAGGCAGGAAGTGAGGATGTGGACTAGGAGAGTGACCAAGATTCCATGGAGTTTTGTCCTCACTTTCATCCTTTCTTTAGATCACCAACTTCTCTACACTCAGTGTGCTTGTTGTTTCGTCTTCTTCATTTGACCCAAAATACCCAGGCAGGTCAAGCATCCTTTGCTCTAGCTCAGTAAGGCCAAAAGAAGTATTGTCATAGAAAGCATATTCAGAGTGTGCTGGAAAGCTTTGACACTTGTCTCTTCTGTACTGGGAAGGACTCAAAGGGCTGACCCTCTGGTAGCTATCCTTGGGGACTGTTGGGGAGGGCTGTTTCCTTGAAATATTTTTGTGACTCGGTGAAGGTCCCCTTCTGTGTCGGTGGGGTTCAGCTCTATCTGTGCCATTTGCCAGTCCTGCTGGACGGTCATTGATCAAGTCAGGTTTCCTGGCTGGAAGACCCATGGGGTGGGACTTGGAAAGAGGGGTGAGTGGTTCACTGGTCATCCCAGTCCCTTGGGGATGCTCCAGCTTCTCAGGGCATGGGTAGGCTCCTCGAGACCGAGCCCTAAATCTATCTTCATGGTCCCAGATTCGTGTCCTGGAATTATAGGCTGGAGCCTGTCGTGGGGTCAGAGTGGACATGCTCCTTTCCCTGAAGGGCCTCACTTGCTTGGTTTCATGAAAACTTGCAGTTCTCCTGAAGTGGGAGTGTCGGGGATAGCTCCTTTCAGACTGGCCCCCTTTGCTGCCCACATATTTCAGCTGCGATCTGCGAATGAGGGTCTGACTGGGGCTCATTGCAGGATTGGCCAAAGACACACTAAAATCTAGCCTGGAATGAGACCTTTCCCCTGGATTGGTGGCTGACTGGTCCAGAAAAGGGGACTTGATTCTAAATTTGTTCACTGTGGCTTCTTCTGGACTTTCTGGGTCTAAGACAGCACCGGCAGCACCCTCAATGACTGTGTCAGTCAGAGGACTCTGAGACACATGGTACACTTTGGTCGTTTCTGTCAGACCCTTCTTTTTCATCTCTTTAAGCTGCTTTTGTGCGAGGCGGTAGCTAAAAAGAGGGGGGATAATCTTCTGGGCATTGGATTGAAAGCTCTCACTGCCAGAGACTTCTTCCTCTGGAGTCAGCTGCATGCTCCTCCGGTAGGTCAAAGGGATATTGATCTCCGTAGGGCTCCCCAAGGGTCCCTCGCCCCCATCAGAGAAGCTCCCTCTCTGCTCACTCAACTGACAGATGTTCTCTTCATCTGAGTTCTTCCGGAAGCCGGAGGAGTGGATTGAGTTGTGCCGGGCCGGGGTGCTGCACTTGGGAGCCCGGCCAAACTTCCTCCATAGGGTAATGAGCACAGTGGCAACGATTATGAACAAACACAGAGAGATCCCAGTCACGGTCACAATGTTATTAGCTTTCAGGGGGCCCTTGGGTTGGACAGGAGATGGGCTGGAAGGCTTGAGGGCTGAAACACATTTTCAAAAAAATATCTTTTAAAACTTTATTCACCAATGTTATCTTCTCTGAGTGACTGAGATTTTGCTTAAATATCTGATAGTTAGCTAAGAAAGAAGTCAAATTGATACAAACCAGGATTCTTGGAATCTGCTATTGTTCCTACAAAGACAGTTCACCCTAAAAGTCCATCACTAAAGGGAAAGCTTATTACAAATACAAAGCATACCATAGATGGACTACGCGACTACCAGAATAATGAAACAATACAAGATGCCATGACAAGGATAACAGGCTAGTATTATTGCTTGGAAACAAGAATTCCTGCTCTTCCTAAACCACAAATCAAATGAGAAAATACTTTTAAAGCACTTACTACAGTGCCTGGCACATAGAAGGTGCTCAGTCTATGCTTGATCTCCCCCTTCCCCTAACAACAATATTTTAGGATGGCATTTTGAGACAAAAAAATAAGGTTACCCCAAAATGGAAAGTGACATAGACCACTAGTCACAATTCCTCTATCAAGTGGTTTTACTGAACTGTTTTTAGGGAATTTACTTTATAGAGGAATGATTTGGGGCACTGATTCCTCAAAATGTGGCCTGAGGATCCCTAGAGGTCCCCAAAGCCATTTCAGGAGGTCCATGAAGTCAAAACCATTTTCAGAATAATACTAAGATGTTTTAATGTTCTATATGGCCAAAATCAATTGATATAACCCATATAAACAAAAGATCTTGGGGGGGAGTCTTTAAAAAATTTTAAGAGTATAAAGGGATCCTGAGACCAAAAAGTTTGAGATAAACTGATTTAGGGAGTTTGTTGGGAAGTATCCATTGTGTTTAAACAAAATGTACCAATAGAAAATATGAAGGCAATTCTTGGGGGTTTGAGCATTATGGTTAATAATATTGAAATGGATCTCTATCATTTTGAACCACTATAAATCAGAATGTTAAGTATAAAAGGAAAGTATCTCAGTATTCTTTACAACATGACTCCTATTACAATCCTGAGCCTTCCCTCAAGTCCTGCTGTGGCTTTTTATCATAACATGGAGAAGACCCTGAATTCTTAAGGCCAAGCCAGCCGAGTATAAACACTGGTGAGTCCTACTGAGCTGGAAAGCCTTTGTGAATGGGTGGGTCTCAAACCAGACTGTGCCTTTCCTCCAAATATGGAGAGGCTTAACACCAGAGGTTTGGCTGCCAAGTAGCGAATTGTTTCAACAACAGCAATTCACAAAGATCATTCCCTAAAGCATAGAAGGTCACAGAGGGCCTCCACACCAATGAAATCATACTTTCTTGGTGTACATGTGTTATGTGTCTCTGGGTCCGAAATCTCAACAGTTCTGAAAATGTTTCTTCTGCCTATTGCCCAGAAATGCCCTGGCTCTCTCAGTCTTATGTTTTCAACTTTTGCTGTCCTTTGATTTTTCTCCTTTTTTTTAATCTTTATCACCTTTTCCCTTACTTCTGGTTCTCATCTTTGGAGACAGTGGAAAGAAGGCTGATTCTGTATTCAAAAGAACTGGGTTTCAATCCTCTTTTACCTACTACCTGTGTGACTTCAGGCAGGCCATTTAACTTCCTTGGACCTCACTTTCCTCATCTGTAGGGAATTGGGCTAGAGGGCGTCTGAGGTCCCCTCCAGTGATAAATCTATGTGATCCTATGATCTCTACTACATTAAGCTGTCTGCCCCAGCTATTATAATCAATGTTCTGTATCAATGAAAGGGAAATAATTAATATTCCACTAAATGGAGCATGGATACAGCAGCACTAAGCTGGCACAGTCTGTTGCTGAACTAGACCAGCCAGTCAGTCAATCAACAAGTAGTGATTAGATACTTACTATGAGCCAGGCATTGTGCTAAGTGGCCAAAAGAAAACACAGAACCAGTGGATTCAGACTGCAGTGAAAAATATAATTTTTAAAGTTAAACCAAACTTTAAATCCCTAATCAAATGTTGATAGCTTAATAACAAGATATATATTTTTTCTGAAACATCACATTTTAGGATTATTGATCTTTTAGAAAGTAACTTTCTTGAGGGCAAAGGCCATCTCACTTTTGCATTTAAATTTCCAGTGCCTAGCACAGTGCTAATACATAATAGGTGATTTATAAATGCTTGCTGGTAAATTAATTGTATAGTAAATTCAATGAAACATAGTTGCGGCAAATGTGTGACTCATGACAGTGGCTGGTTACATTATTTTTTGAGTCAGAGACGTGAGTTCAGATTCTGAATTGCCACTCACAGCTTGGACAAATCTCTCAGCATCTCTGGTTGCCTCATTTGTAAAACTGAGGGCAGCTGGGTGAAATTACTTCTAAAGTCCTTTCCAACTTAGATCTATGAGACAGCTTCCTTAGCTTCCTTAAAACCTGTAGCTTGAAACTTTCTTGAAAATGTTATCCTAGCTCATCTGTGGCTTACATTGGCAATAGTCAGGCAATAAGCATTTATTAAGTACCTACTATGTGCCAGGCACTGTGCCTGGCACAAAGAAAAGTAAAAGATAGTCCCTGCCCTCAAGGCATTCACATGGGGAGACAATAAGCAAACCAATATAAATAAGTTATGCATAAGATAAATAGGAAATAATGTAGGGAAAGCACTCGAATTAAAAGGACTGGGAAAGACTTCCTGTAGGAGGTGAAATTTTAGCTGGCACTTAAAGTGTATAAGAAATTGCTTAATGATCTGTGAGGGCTTGAGCATTGGTGTCTCCCTTTCTAAGGTAGAGCAGTAAAGTAGGACAGCGAGAAAAAAAATTTTTTTTCAAAGGACTTCTGGGGTTTTTTGCCCTTTTCAGAATTCAACTATAAAGGGCCTTAGTGCCAGAAATAATCTACAGTATTTGCCCTGCATGTTCATTATAAATTAAAGAAGGTGTAGGTAGTTACCACCTCTGAATGCAAGAGAAATTTCATCTTCTAAAAAAATATTGTGAATCTAGAGAAGATGCCGCAGACACATGGTCGCAAGTCAGTGCATTAAAGTACAAATACAAGGTGGGAGGCAGGACTATGGGTGTTGTAGGCTGCATATAATGTTGGATTTGACAATGTATTGCTTAGTTTTGCTAAGCTGGGTTTTGTAAAGTGCTTAGCAGGGTGCCTGACACATAATACGTCCTATATAAATGTTAGATATTACTATTGTTGTTGTTGTCATTAATAATAAATTTTAAAGCATAAATATAAGGTCTTAAATATAGAAGGTAATTAGAGTTGCCTTTAAAAGTTAGATGTGTATTATGAAACCCTGAATAGAGATACTGCCAAGAGAATGGGATATCCCAGAGTGGGATAAGAGGAACTTCAGGGAGGCCAAGTAGCATCTGGGTGAAGAGCTTAAGGCAACTCAAAGAGAAATCAAGAGAGGAAAGCCTACACAATGCAAGAGAAAGAAGGTAGAAGGCAGTGTACAAAGGTCATGGAAAAAGACAGAGAAGGAAAGACACAGGGAAAAGAGTTAAGATGTTGGATTCAAAGTGCTTACTGGGAAAAAGGACCTGTTAGAGAGATGCCCCCCAAAAAAAGAGACAGAGGCTGTTAGGTCAATGAGGGTTTGGAGAAAAGACAGGGCAACATGTGGAGAGAACAGGAAAGAACTTTACTCCTTGAGAGACAAGAAGGCCAGGCTAAAGGTGGTCGTTTGATCTAGAACTAGAGGATAAAATGACAGTGGGTCTGGAACGATGAACTATAAAACTAAGGATCAGAGCCTAAAGCAGAGGTTTAGAGACTAAAAGGGAATGACAAATAAGAATGCTGGAAAGGGCTGCTTAGATCTAATGCTTTAAAACTGAGCAAACTTAATTGAGAAACATGTACCTGAAACTTCATATTACCAGCAAAACATTTACTTGGTACCTATTGATTTGCACCCCTGAAATTTCCTCATATTAAGTTTAGTTGTGCACCTAAACTCTGTGTGAGTATATGTGTGTGTTGAACTCCAGGATACAAGTCAGAGAAGAGGACAACAGTACAAAGAAGAAGAATTCTGATGAGGAGGGAAAGGGAGAATATTTTTAAAAGAGATGAATGTGAATGCATAGGGAATCCCTCAACCAACTTGGATTTTTTTTTTAAAAGACATGTACAAAAGATGGGAGCATATCTTCGCTCATCATTGTTCTACATCATTGTTCAGTTGTTTCAGTCACGTCTGGCTCTTTGTGACCCCATTTGAGGTTTTCTTGGCAAAGATACTGGAGTGGTTAACCATTTATTTCCTTCTCCAGCTCATTTTACAAATAAGGAAAGGGAGGCAAAAAGGGTTAAGTGACTTGCTCAGAGTCACACAGCAAGTGTGTGACTAAGGACAGATTTGAATTCAAGAAGATGAGTCTTCCTGACTCCAGGGCTGGCAATCTATCCACTGTGCCAACCTAGCTGCACTGTGGAGATAAATCTAAAAAGTGTGGCATAGTCCAGCAAGAGTAGTGTCAAAAGTGTTAAATCTGAGAATGAGCAGAGGCTGGTGAGGAAGGAAAAGAGACCTGTTTTTAAGCTATTCAGAAAAAGGAGAAAGATCAAAGAAGGCACAGGACTGCTGTTCAAGGTGGATGGTACCATAATAAATGAAGGAGCTGCTTGAAGTTATTTTGCTTGTTTTCTTTGCCAAAGAGAATGGTCACTGTACTACAAGAGACAAAAGAAAATTGGGTATTAGGAAGCTGATACTCAAGACAAGTAAGGTGGTAGTAAAAGACTAATTCCTCTTGTCACCTGGTCCAGATGGGCTATATCATTGGGTGCTCAAAGAATGTCATCTTTAAAAGAGTGCAGAGAACTGGAAAGGAGAGGCAGAATGGGAGAAGAGCTAATGTTGTCCCGATTTTCAGAAATAAAAGGAGAAAAAAGTCTACAAATTCTAGGCAGGCGAGCCTGACTTCAATTCTTCACAAGATTCTAGACTCTATCAGGACATTACGTGAACATTTCAAGAAGAAAGCAGTGACCACAAAAGACCAGCATGGCATCCTCAAGAACGGATCATGCAGACCTGTTGGGATTGATATGCAGTGAAGTAAGCAAAACAAGAACTATATACACAGTGACTATAATAACATCAATGAAAACAACTCTGAATGGCAGCCAAACTCTGACTCAGTGTAAGGACCAGTTTTGGCCCTGAAGAACAGGAGATTAAACTTTCTTCCCTCCTCTTAGTAGAGAGGTGGAGGACTCTGGATACATAATGTTGCAGATGTTGGCAGCTGACATCGCTATGTTGGCTGCATTTACTTAACCATTCTTTTTTGTCACAAGAAAGGTTTCAGTAAGGGTCTGAGCAGAGAGAAGACGGGGATATTGGGAAATTCTGTGATGGGCATTAATAAAACTTAAAAAAGGGAAAGGGGGAATGATTAGAGAATCTAGAGGGTTGGGGAAAGGCCAGAGCACAGGAGTTTGGCCTTTAATGGAAGAAACACCCTCCCTTCTTAGCTTTGTTAAAGTAAAAGAGAGAATTTAAGATTATCTATTTAGAGACAAGATGGGGTGCTATGCCCTGTTTTGTGACACAGATGTAGTCTTGACTTTCTACTCAGGTTTAAGTGTCTCTCGCTACTGTATTCAGACTAGTGACATGAAGCATAGGGGGAAAATCTTCCAAAGAACTACAACAAAAATTCCCAGGAAAAGAGGGAGGGGGAAAATTTCTTTTCCTCAAATTTGTCATGCTTCCCCTTCCATCCTCTTCCTTCTATCCACCACAAGGCATTCCTTCATATCTCTAACTCAGTTATATCTCCTTGCCATTTCCTTCTCTTTTGCATCATATACTCTTTTCTTGGCACCAGATTGGACAGATACCCTCCCTAACTGTGCACCATCTTAGATGACAGGGAATATGTGCAATGTTACTAGAAATAGGTCTATCTGATTGCCACTTCTGGCATTACAGTAGACAGAATGACTCCTGGGCCTAGTCTCTGTTCCCATCTGAGACCACGATGAATGCCCTGTCCAGTGTGTTGCGTACACAAGAAGTATACTTACTAAAGCATTCTTCCAAAGAGCACAAGGAGGTCTCTATGGGTGTTCCAACACAACCAGGCTTGGAAGGGGAGGAACTGAGACAGATTCGTTGCCGATCACGTATGCCGTCACCACATGTTACGCTGCATGGATTCCAGGCCTGCCATAGGCTCCATGTTTCTGTAAGGACACAAGGTCAAACATGTGATGCTGTGTTCTCTAGGGAAAGTTAGGAAGCTCCCCATTACTGGGGAGAAGGAGAAAGGGGGAAAAGAATATAAGGAAAACAAGAAAAATACTCCATAGCCCCATTCTAATCCCACAATACTAGATCACAGATTTAGTCCAAACCCTTCATTTTATATATGAGGAAATTGAGATACAGAGAAATACAAGTCACAGAAGTATATATCCAAGGCAGAATTTGAATTTAGGTCTTCCTTACTCCAAGTCCAGAGTCCTATCTGCTATAGCAGACTACCTTATTGGAAGACTAAATAAATAAATGAATGAATGAACGAATAAACAAATAAATGAATGAATGAATGAATGCTGACATCTTATTGGCAAATTCACTTTAAACTAAAAACAGGTAACACTGCAGTGCACTGACAGCTGGAATAAATTTACAAAAACCATTGAATAATCCAGCTTGTGTCCCTAGAGCCACCAGCCCCCCAACAACAGCTCTTGCAACACCTATGGCCATAAGAACATGCCAACACTGCCTACCAAAGCCAAGCCAATCCAATCAGACCTTGCTTGTGTTCATCAGCTGACAGAATATTCCATAGCAACCCCCAGTGTTGGGTAGATGCACTCTTGAGCTAGCCAGGAGGTACTTTCTTTGGGATGAGTCATGGAACTTAAATTCTTGGCCCCTTCTGGTAATTAAAAGTTTCTGGGGACTTTCACAAGAGCTGGAACATTTACAAACTAATTCCCTGGATTAGTTCCAACTCAGGTGTGGTAATTATGTTCCATCTAGCATTTCAACAGAACCCAACTTTGTGCTCTACCTCCTGGGTATCACGGTTGGGCCAGAGGAAAAACCAGGAATGTGGTTTTTCTTTTTCTTTTTCTTTTTTGTTATTGATTTAAGATTGGGTCTCTCTGTTTTGCCCAGACTGGAAGTGCAATGGACACCCACAGGTCTGATGATCCTACTACTATCACAGAAGCTTTAAATGCTCCATTTCTGAGGTACGCCCCTCCCTAGTCAGCCTGATGGCTCTCTACTCTTGGGGGTCCACCATATTGGTGCCAGATCTAGTATGGACCCCCAACTCCACTTTAACCCTACTGCAGCTCAGAGCTCCCTAGCTCATGTCATCCACCAGACTCCCCCTCCTCCCTGACAGTTGCAGGGATTTCAGGACTGTGCCCCTACCACATCCAAGGAATGTGGTGGTGTTGGGTTGTTTTTTTTCCCACAAAATTTCAGAACTAGAAGGATCTTCAGAGGCAGTCCAGTCCAACCTGTACCTAAACAGAAATTCTCTCATATACTTTAAGACAGCTATTATGTACTTCTTGAATCTTCTTCAGCCTCAATATCCCTAGTTCTTTCAAGAAATCCTATAAGCTTTATTATTATGTTGATATTTTCCTGCAAAAGGTGGCTAAAAATTCATTTCTTATAAAATGTTTTGTATATAAAAGCTCTATGGAAGTTCAATATATTATTATTGATTATTGATGTTCTAGTATATTATACCATATATTACTATACTATATTATATATATAATAATATAAAATATAATATAATACATGTACTATTTTGTATAATATACAATTATTGGTGTTTTTCTTTTTTTTTTAATCTGCACAGAATAAATGCTACTTTAGTGAAAGGTAAAACCAAGCCTCAGCTGACACATATTTACCCTCTTCATCTTTACACCTTTGCAACTTGTGACTACAGAACCATAACATGAATTCCATAAAAGCCACACACACGCACGCAAAGCAGCCTAGTTATTTTTTTGGTCGCACCACTCTATACATACGTGTGAAACAAGTCCGGCTGGCTTTTTGTACTCCAAGCCAGTTGCAAAAGTGAAAGACTCATTGATATTTTTTTCTTTAATCTTTTTTAAACTGCATATAAATGCAGGGATCTTTAAATATGAATCAGTTAACCTAATTAATGTGTTTTAATCTAAAAGCAAGAATTTAATTGGCAGGTGTTTGCAAAGTAAGCATTCCTATGCAGAACAATTCCCTCCTCCCCACTCCCAACCCCCCTCTTTCCACAGGAATATGAAGTCATGAACTGGGCCTCACAATAACATTTTAAATGCACATGATCCACTTGCAATTTGGGAAGTGCAGATTCCCTTTCACCCCCATACAATACAAAGGAATTAGTCTCAGAAAAGGTTTGATTCCAGTAACATCTAAACAAGTTATGTTTTATAAGAAATTCTAATGGAAATGGGAAAGTCTATGATTATTAACAATCTGAAGCTAGAGATGAAGGGCCCTCTCCTTCATCTACTGTTCTGGGTGTTAAGGAGTTCCCACATGCGTGTGCCTTTCTCTTGCCATAAATCCAGTTGCAATGCTTGTCTTGTGATATCATTTTTGGTTAACATGGGGAAGCTTCACAGGAATACTAGTAATGGAAGAGTGTATGTAATGACAGAATGGCCAGAACCAGCTCTGATCCACATTTTTTGATATTTTTTTTTGTTTAAAAAAAAAAAAGCAAAGGCAGGGGAAAGTAGAATGATTTTGATTATTCCTATACATTCACTTCATGTGATCTGAGTGAGAAACTCTCAGTTATGCCCTGAAGGAGCTTACATTCTGGAGTACCTAAAATGTACCCAGAAAAGGTGGCATAGACAAACACACAATCATTCCATTTCCAAAAGAACCTAAGAATTGAAGTCATTGCCAAGCTAGTGGTCTATGCAGTACAAATACATCTACTGCTATAGAGGAGTGTGGAGTTTGGGGAGAATTAAACTGGTATGCCATCTTGACTGGCTGCCTGGAGCATTAATTTACGTTTTAAAAATATATTTAAAAAAATTTAAAAATATAAGAAAGAAAAGGGCAGAAAAAGAACTCAATTCAGCCACACTTGAACTTCTGGTTTAGTAGAGGGAAGCCTAAAAATTACTATACAAAAACCTGGGTAGACACCATGTTCCTAGATCTACTGAGAATGAAGAATCATGTTTCAGCCATGTGCATTCTTAAGTCAATATTTATTTGTGAAGGCAGGCAATTTATGGTGCACAAAAGAGTATAACATATACATAGTCTTTAGCTACTTTTACCACTCATAATTATGTAATTATGCTCAGTTTTATTTAAGTAGTATGATTGTATGCTGTGATGAAGAGCAAAACATTATATAAATAATAAAGCACCCATATTCATTTTTTAAAAATATTGCTTCTAAGATCCAACTACCTCCACTAAAATCCTACTCTGATATCTCATTATGATATGGAGGTGACTTGGTTTTTGTTGGTTTTTAAATTGTTTATTTATGCTTTTTGTTTTTCATACCACAGTTATTTCCCAACTAACCTGGTGCCCCTTCTCTGTCTGCCTCCAAATGCATATGAACCTTCCCTTGTAATAACTAATTATAGTTTTTTGAAGCCCATGGAAACCAATGGTAGTAGAAAGAGTCTGACTCTAGAGTCAGAGGATCTGGGTTCAAGTCTCCCTTTTGATATTTTCTTCCTATGTGACCTTGGACAAAACAACTTAACCTCTCTACTCATTTTTCTTAACTGTAAAATGAAGGGGTTGAACTAGATGTCCTTCGAGCTTCCTTCCAGCTAAAGATCTATGTCACGTGGAAGGTCCTCTTTCATTCAGGTATGGACCTAGTGATGTAATACATGCCTGTCATCTAACGACGACCCTGGCTAAATTCAGGGAAGTGCATCCGTCACCAAAAGATTGGTCACCAGATAAAGAATTTTTGTTTGCAGTAACTAATGAAGATCTTCTCCTAAGGCACAGAGGGACTATGACCTGGGAAGGAGCAAGTCCATTTCATAAAATCACCGATATATTGAAGTACTGACCTAGAAGAAGAAAATGTCTAATTAAAATAGCTGCATTTCTCTAAATTCTGATGGGAATTAGGCATGGCCTACTCAGATAAGAGATCAGTGAAGCTCAACAAGACATGCCAAGAACTGAGATTTGGCTCTGAGTTTCAAACCCAGTTCTGCCACAGACTTTCCATAGTCACTTTAGTGGAGTCCACTAGTGGTGGCCAATTTTGACCATTTACTCAAGTTTCCCTATCTTCCAAAATAAGGACAATAATAATGCAAATTGGGTTCCTGGGAGGAATAAATGACAAAATGGATCTGCCATACTTGGAAAATTAAGGAGTCTTCTAAATACTAAGCAATAAAGCCAACAACTAGGAAGTACCCATTCAAGACATTATGAGAAATAAAAGAGATTGCAATACCAACCTATATTTCTCTGAATCACCATGCACTCCTCCCTTGAAGAAAAATGGCTTTTGCTTGAAAAGCTGAACTCAAAGCAGTATTTATTTTTCCCCATGGCAAACAAAGTACAGTTAAATGCTGTTTTGCTGGCCCCTAGGGGCACAGTGATTTCAGCCAACCAACCAGGCCTGTCCCCAGAATGCCTGGGGGTGTCCTTGTATACAGAGACCGTTCCTTGGGCAAAAGTACATGGAGGGGGCACTATCACCACATCCACCAAGGACTCACATGTTAATTCAGGCAATGTCACCAGCTTGTAGCCAAATTTGCGGACCAGATCAATGGGTCCTGTTGAGGTAATGATTGACTCAGTATCATGCAGTTTCAATAACACAGTGGCATAGGCTTGTGAACCAATGGGATCACAGTCAAACTCTATCCACTGAAAAGGAGCAAGGCTAACCCTTTTGCTGATCCTTATTTCCAGTGGTTGATCCCTGCTTTCTTTCAGCTCAGAGATGCTGTTAGTGAAGGTGACGTCCACCAAAACGTCCGGTCTGTCTGTAGTGAAAGAGCACAGTGGCTGATTTGTAAAAAGTCCCACTTGTAAGATACCTCCAGTTGCCTTTGATGTCTGATTGAAATCAATGTGGAACACAGGCCACTCCACCTTCAGAAAAGCATGCTTCTCCTGCCAGGGGAAGCTTGTGTCATTGTCCATTTTTGCCGGATTCAATATGAACCAATAGTCACCAGCCTCCCTGAAATAGAAACACTCAAACTCCAATGTGCCTTGGGATTGGTTGGTCAAAAGGTATTTGGTGGTGATGGTCTGATTTTTGCTGGCATCGAACAACAGGACAGACACATTCCTCATCGTTGCATTATTTCCATCAGAATACTGGAAATCTACAGACACCGTGTTGTTGCTTAAAGCTATGTGACCTGGCTGCCCCAAGACAAGGTACTCGGTTTCACCAAGAACTGAAAGGAAATGACACAGAAAGTGTTTAATAATCCAGATGAATATTTACAGCTACCAGTACATGGGTGGGAAAGATAAAGGAGAGAAAAATGCTTCCAATCATTTTTGACAGTTCTATTGTTTGATGTTGGTGATACCCAGAGGCCCCCAATCAACTCAATTCAATTCTGCACTACAAATAATTGGCATCATAGACTAAGCAAAGAGTAAATGCACCAGCCTAAGCATCAAGATGTTCAGTGCAGATTCCAGCACTGAGAGCTTAAACACTGTGTAATAGGATCAAAGGCTGGACTCTGGCCAACTGATTTAAAGCAGTCCAAAGATGAAATCAACTGCCTTGGTAGGGAATAAGTTACCCATCACTAGAGTACCACAGATTCTTATCCAGGTACAGGTTAGGCTAGATGACCTCAGAGGTCTTTTCTAACTCTGAGATTTTATGATTTAACCTTTCTGTGGTTCTGTTCTGTTCACAGGCTTGAAGAGATTAATTATTGCAAAATACATTGAGATTATAGCATGCCATAATCTCCCTTCATATATACGTATGCACATATATATGTATATACATACAAATACATGTACATATACAGGTACACATACATATATGAAGCAGGGAAAAAATTTTAAATTTTAGAGGGAAAAAAGGCAAATCTTATTTCCAGCACCAACCATATTTGTTGTTGTTCAGTTGTTTCGGTTGTATCTGACTCTTCATGACCCTATTTGGGGTTTTCTTGGCAAAGATACTGGAGTGGTTTGCCATTTCCTTCTCCAGGTCATTTTATAGATGCAGAAACTAAGGCAAACAGGGTTAAGTGATTTGCCTAGAGTCACACAACTGGTTAATATCTGAGGCTGGATTTGAATTCAGGAAGATGAGTCTTCCTGACTTTAGGCCTGGCACTTTATACACTGTGCCACCTAGCTGACTACTTGGGCTTGAGATTTATTGGGCAACCATGATTTATGTATAGGAAAGATACTTGTTTAAGTAATAAAACCACAGACTTTTGAGGTTTGAAAGGACTATAAAGATTATTTAATCATTTTACAGATAAGAAAACTGAGGCCCAGTGACATAGCTCAGGTCTCCTGTGACTCAGTTTGGTTCCCTTTCTACACTGTGATAAAGAAACAACTGCGTTGCATCACTGTAAATGAAAAGGAGGAAAACCTAAAATTGATTTGAAACTCACAGTTTCCTGAATAGATAGGTCAAAATCTTCTGCGATGCTGGGAATTTTTGCCAGCAAAGAAACCAGTGTCAGGCTAGCTGGATATGGTGCTGAATTTTGGATGGGTATGTAATGTTGGTGCTTTGTTCTGCCAGGCTAATAAAAGGGACTTTTACAAAATCTAGTAAGGAATGAATGGACACCGTGATGCTTTCACTTATAAGTTAACTAATCTCTCTGGAGCTGTTGGTAACTTTATAGCAAATGGCCTTATTCTAGACAGAACAGATACACAGTCTCTTAAGGATCAGTTATATCTTTTTTTAAAAATCTAACAACTTGAAATGATTAAAGTGAAGAGTAGAAAGAAAACCCACTGCCATAACACACAAGTATCCTTGTTTCTCTTTTGAAATGTATCCAAACACAAATCACAGGAATCAAAATCTGGCTTTGTAACAATTAGCTGTAACCCTGCTGGGATGAGAGTTCCTTCTAGAAAATGAGAGCTCTACAGAGCTCCGAAGAATATTCATTCTGTTCTAAAAGGCCCATGCATAAGTATGAACTGATTTTTCATATTATTTGAATCATTAATAGGAAGAAATAGGAAAACAATGTGATTTTATGCCTTCAGTTTGTTTTCCTTTTCTCAGTTTCTATGTGTATTTTTTTCCTATTTGAAAAGTGTTTTAAGGGAGGTTTTTTTTTTTTTTTTTTTGCTAATTTTTCTCCCAATGGTCTTGTGATACTGTCCCTACAAGATCAATGATGAAAAAAATAGTAAGGTGATAAGTCAACGAAGCACATTATATCAATTAGCATTTGTTAAATACCTACTATGTGCCAAGCACTGTGCTAAGCACTATTAATTTAAAAGTAAACTGCCAATGGGGCAACTAGGTGGTGCAGTGGATAGAGCACCAGCCCTGGAGTCAGGAGGACTTGAGTTCAAATCTAGCTTCAAATGTGTGACCCTGGGCAAATCACTTAACCCCATTGCCTTACCAAAAAAAAAAAAAAAAAAAAAAAAGGAAAGGTACCAGGTGGCTGATAATGCAGTGGATAGAGTGCCAGCCCTGGAGTCAAGAAGACTCATCTTTCTGAGTTCAAATCTGGCCACAGATACTTCCTAGCTGTGTGACCCTGTGCAAGTCACCTAATCCTGTTTGCCTCAGTTTCCTCATCTGTAAAATGAGCTGGAGAAGGAAATGGCAAACCACTCCAGTGTCTTGGCCAAGAAAAGCCAAAATGGGATCACAGGAGAGTCAGATATGACTGAAAAACTACTGAACACCAAACAATGACAAAGCAGCCATGGAAGAAGAAAAAATTTAGCTTCTAGCTCTGAGTTTCTACTTCAATATTTTTTTATTACCATGCTTTCTGATGTTGGTGTCAGTTGTGTCCCTAGTCCTTAGCCTTTAGCAATAGCTACCCCCTATTTTATACTTTTCTGTACTCCCAAAGGGACTTACCTATTCTTAATTGTGACCCTCAAATGTGGAAAAAAAAAACCCCAAAACACTCCAAAATCGAGCCACGCACAACCAGTCATGAACAGCGAACATCTGTGACTATGTCCCCTTGATGTTCATAGTTGGTCTTCCTTGACTGGGTCAGTCTTTCACCTTCTCATCAGGTTATATGGAAACATCACTACACAATGCTCTCAATAGACTCCTGGTCACCATTTAATTGAAAACGACGAGAGCATGAAGTTGTATTGTTCTTTTTTTTTTTTTAGGCAAAGCAACAATGGAGGGAAATCCTCCATCTGACTGATGGCTATAAATGGCTAGAAAGGGTGAGATAGGAGTAGATGGAGCTTAAAACAGGGGTCCTAACAAACCATGTTTACTCTGTATTAAATCAGGATGATTTACAGTCTTCCCTTATGGGTAGCTCAATTTCTTTACCAATTTTGAAATAAATTCCTCCTCTACTTTCAATTACTTAGACATCTATGTGGTATTTTGAAATCACCAAAAGAACATATTAACTCAATGCAAAAATTATGGGTTTTTTAAGTTGTTACTTCCCAAGTTGTAGACAAGTTTTCTACTAAATGACATGATCTCTCATGCTTCAAAAGGGGTCATCAATCAACATCTCAAAACTTGTAAATTTCACATTTAAATTCTTTTTTTTAGCTTTGTATTTATGATAACATGTGCATTTTATACTCACCATAGTCCCAGAGCACCACTAATAGTAGATTTGAAAAGTCTTTCAACATTTGTTTCATTCTGATTAGCAGCACCCCAAATCCTTGGACTCCTCATGTCCTTTCTCACACCCAAGTCACATGTACTTTTCTCAAGAACACCTGCAATTTACAACTTCAGAAATGATAGCCTTGATCAGTACAGTTTATAAAATTAAAGTCTCTTTAATAGTCAAACTCCCTAGAATAGGAATTACATTCATTTTCTCCTAAATAAATGTGACTTCATTTCCTTCCCTTTATCCCGTTATAAGTAAGTCCCCTACTTAAGAACTGTGGCACAGTGGATAGACCATGGCCTAGAATCAGGAAGACTCTTGTTCCTGAGTTCAAACCTGCCCTTAGACATTTACTAGCTGTGTGACCTTATGCAAGTCACTTTATCCTGTTTACCTCAGTTTCTTCATATGTAAAATGAGCTGGAGAAGGAAATGGCAAACCATTCCAGTATCTTTGCCAAGAAAACAGCAAATGTGGTCATGAAGAGTTGGATACAACTGAAAACAACTGAATAACAACTTAAGAAGCTGATAGAAAAACCAAGAAGAAGATATTTCTAAAATTGTTGTTTGTCTTTCACTTTCTTTTCTTTTTCTTTTTTTTTTTTTTTTTGCTTAGGCAGTTGGGGTTAAGTGACTTGCCCAGGGTCACACAGCTAGTAAGTGTCAAGTGTTTGGTCTGAGGCCAGATTTGAACTCAGGTCCTCTTGACTTCAGGGCCAGTACTCTATCCACTGTACCACACAGCTGCCCCATTTTTTAAAAAAAATTTTTTTTCCTTCATTTTCAAAGAAGACTGATGACATAATGGATAATGTCTTGACTTACATGTGAATTGGATTTAAGTGAGGCAGAGTTGCACAGAGTTGTTAGTCCCACTCTACCTTCCTGAGTCACAGAAGTCAGGTGTCAGGACAAAAGTCAAGAGGATTGGTAATAGTTTGGGATGCAATGGATGACCTTGGTATCTTTAATGCCTGACCAAGCTCTAAGCCCTGCACAGCACCTGCTTCAGCCACCTTTATGGCTGTTGGCATAAATTGTTCTTATCTGCCCATTCCACTGAGGGAAGTCTTCACATGCTTGCGATAAACATCCCCCTGACTCACTGACAGGTTTGAGGCCTGTCGGTTATCCCCAACCTGGTTTAGCTCATTTGCTGAGATGGTTTACTGGGGTGTGGCTGCATGCTACTTGGAGCCACAGGTGAGAGGTGGGTCAATAAAGTGGATACCAAAGGTGAATGAGCAGCCCTGAAAAGGGTTCAGCAGCCCTCACATCAGAGATGATACGCCACTCGAGGGCTGCATACATCCTTATTTCCAAAAAATAGCAGTTATGTTCTTGTAGCACAGAGCAGAGGCACAAACTTGACAATTATCTGGTAAATTTGAGCAATATAAATAGCCAATAAAAACAATATGGTCAGTAATAGGCAAAGAAGTGTTGGACCTGGAGTCAGGAAGACTTAAGTCTGGCCTTAGACACTCACTAGCTGTGTGACCCTGGGCAAGTCACTGAATAGCTGCCTGCCTCAGTTTCCTTATTTGTAAAAGGAGGATAAAACAGCACCTGCCTCCCTTAAATCACCTTGTGAGGATAAAATTATTTAAGATTTATAAAGCACTTTGCAAACAAAGTGCTATGTGAGTGCTAACTATTATGATGATGATGATGATGATGATGATATAATACTATTTTGTTTGGTCTTTCAGTCACATCCAACTCTTTCTTGGCAAAGATACTGGAGAAGTTTGGCATTTCCTTCTCCAGTATGTCACTATTTTACAGGCGAGGAACTGAAGCAAGGGCTTAAGTGATTTGCCCAGGGTCACACGGCTAGTAAGTGTCTGAGTCCAGATTTGAACTCAGATCTTCTTGACTCCAGACCTGATGCTCTATCCACTGCCCCATCTGTCTCACATTGCTCAAATTATTAGATTTTTGCTAAACTTCCAATTCAACTCAATAAGCATTCTATTAAGTATCTACTATGCATGCAGCACCATACAAAGACAAAACAAAAAAGTCTCTCAGTCCCTTCCCTCAAGGAGCTTACATTCTACCAGGAAAATACTACATGTAAACAGCTAATCATATACACAATCAATTTGAGAAGAGGGAAGAGAAAACTATTAACCATAGGGATTAGGAAAAGTTTCACGTAAGAGATGAACCACAAGGTGAACCTTAAAAAAAAGCTAAGGAGAAGGTTGTTGCAATATTCCAAGAAAGAAGTAATAAAAACCTGAATTATTGTGGTGGCTATGTGAGTGGAGAAAAGGGGATGGATGCCAGAGATGTTGTGAATACAGAATCAATGAGAATCTGATATATGGATACATGGATGAGGGAGAAAAGAATTAAGGATGCCTCTACCATGAACCTATAGGACTAGACAGATGGTAGTATACTCAAATGAAACAGAGAAACTTGGACATGAGGTGATTTGAAGGTGAGATGAGTTCTGTTTTGAAGATGTTAAATTTGAGATACCTATAGGACATCTATTTGGAGATATTTAAATGACAGGTAATTGGTGATGTGAAGCTAAAGCTCAGGAAAAAGACTAGAGCTGGATAGATAGACATATAGACAGACAGACAGATACAGACAGACATATGTACTCATTCATATCCATACATATATGTATGGACGTTTGTGTGTTGCACAAAGATGACAAATGAACCCATGAGCTGATGATTTGACCGAGAGAGGAAGTGTAAAGAGAGAAAACATGAGGGTCCAGGACAGAGCTTATGGAACCATTTGTGGTTGGGGAGGAAAGAGCATTCAGACAGATGATCTAAGAGAGACTGTGAAAATACAGGGAGGAGAAAGCATTCAGAAGGAGAGAGTGGTTGATGGTGTCAAATGCTGGGGAGATCAGGAAGAAAAACCAACTCCACTTCTTAATGGGTTTTAAAATGCTAGTCTTACTTTCATAGCCTCATACATTGATCCATTGGGGCTGAATCAGTTTTCCATCTGTTCTGTTGCATAATTTTGCTAATAAAAAAAAAATTAATAGCCAGCATCTACAAAACACTCAAAAGTTTGCAAAGCACTTTACATATAGTGTTTCATTTAATCTTCACAATAGCCCTATGAGGTAGTTGCTATTATTAGCCCCATTTTACAGAAGAGAAAACTGAGGCTGAGGGCAAGTGACTCACACAGCTAGTTAAGTGTCTGAGGCAGGATTCAAACTCGTGTCTTTCTCACTCCAAGTCCAGTAGTCTTATCCATTATGCCACCCATGCTAAAAAGTTGAATCATAGTTGTTGACTTTTTGGATAGAGTGACAGTTCTACAAATAATCATTAAGTTAGATTGTTAATTTCCTTAGAGGAGCATTTATATCTTTTTTTCTTTTTCTTGTTCTTGGTGCTTACCACAGTGCTTCACACATAGCAGACTAGTAATCTGGGTTTGGTACAAGAATAAGTGACATCTTTGTAGTTCCAAACAACCAGATTTCTTTAAGGTGATATAATCTAAAGAAGGAATAGATGAATAGCAATTATCTTGTATTCTAAAAATGAAACACTTTTACTGGTTTTTCTTTTGTCAGTGTTCCAAAATTTGCTCTTATTGAAGCATATCGATAGAAGGATGATTCATGCACCATTTTATTTATTTATTTAGACAACCACCTGGGAGAGCAGGGAAAGTCTGGGCTACCTGTGGCTCAGAATGAGTTCAATGAGAGGCTCTCTTTCTCTTGAGTCAAGCTAGACTATTCAACTGTAGTATAAGATCTAAGGTGTTTGGGGGCCCATTTCTTCTGCAAAAAAAAAATGTCTTTTGGCTTGTTAATTATTATATATATATGTAAATATATACACATGTATATGTATGTATGTATGTACACATGTAGACATATACACATAGCATATGTGTGATTAATCATACATGTATTACACATTATTAAATTAATTTTAATTAATTAATGTGATACAGTTATATTATAGCTGCATATATAATACATAAATATATAATATATATGAATGTGTGTATATATGTGTGTGTGTATATATGTTTTTGTAAAAAACATTTATAGATTTGTTTTAAAAGTCCACCATTATTAGCACTTGACATTTAATATATATGTATATGTATTATACATAAGTATTACCTTTCATAGGTGTGTATTATGCTCCTATTGCTAAGAAACACTTCAATCACTGAAATTAAAAATAAATCCAGTTTCTCTCAGGAATGGATTACTCAGTATTTAAGAAAAAAAGAGATACTGACTTCAGAATTTATCTTTCTCATTCAACAATAGTAGGTTAAAAGAAAAAAACAAGTATTTTTCAGCACTCAAAGTAGTAGAGATTTGGATGGCAGTTAGAGCAAAATAAAAGCTCTCCTAGCCAGAATGTTGGAATCCTCTCCAGAAATGCTCACCTTCACATCTGAAACATGGATGGGGCAACATAACCCAAGGATGCAGACGCAAATTTCACAGAAAGCATCAGCACGATCATGTGCCAGTACAAGGCTTCATGAATTAAGATGCTGTGTATCTGGTATTCAACAATGTTGGATTGGGAAAGATTGTCTAGTTCCAAAAAGTTCTGCAGCTTTTCCAAAACTGCCTGTTTCATAGTCAGGACCATTTAAAAAGAACTCTCTGATTGAATGCTGGTGATTGTGATGGCAGCAATGATGCCCAACCTGCTCATCTTTCCATATGATGAAAGTCTTTCTGAAGTTGGTAGTCTAAACCTATCATGTGGTATGACCTGGAGGAATTCCAGGCAGACTCCTCTGAGACATACACAAAAGAGAGGGAATATGCTGAGACTTCTAGAAGTAAATGTGGAAATTCTGCTAACTAGACCACCAACCAAAAAGTAACGGGACACCCAGAAAAAGAGAGGACATTTAAGAGTAAGAAAGAACTTTGCTGAATGCTATTTCTCATTCATTTCCTTTTTTGCTGGTTCTTATTGCATTTCTTCTAACTTAGTGTACATACCCCCCACTGTGTCACTTATGAACATTTAGGTTTACATAATGTTTAAGGAAAAGAGAATGTTGATGTGTATGCTATATATGTAAATATACACTCACATTTACGGAAAAAGCAATTCCAAATGTCTACGTTGGGAATGGGAAAGGAGTTGTTTGTAAATACTCACTGGCCAAAGCATCAAGACAAAAAAAAAAAAAAATCCCAGCAATAACAATATCTGCTTGGACCAAAAGTAATAGCTTGGGACCCCACAGACTGCTCTCCTAACTGGGGGAAAGGAACTAATCCTTGAGTAGTTTCCACAATACAGACATAAGTTATATGGCCTTTTCAGTGACATCTACAACACAGGAAAAAGTGATTTTTGCCCCTTCAGAAAAGGAACACTTAAATTGGCAGAATTGGAGAAAATTTCTAATTCCAGAATTAGAAATTACTTAATGGAGGTCTTATTTCATGCTATGTATGTCCTAATTTGGTTGGCTTTCCATGTGCCCTCCTTCATTTAAGAGTATTCCTGGTAGACAGGTTCATATGCTTGCTCTGTTACCAAGCTACACAAAGCCAGTACACCTTTACTCCATGTTCCAAAGGGTATTGTTATTAAGTCATGTCCAACTCTTTGTGACTCCGTGAACCGTAGAACAACAATACTATCCATGGGGTTTTCATGGCAAAGATACTGGAGTGGTTTGCCATTACCTTCTTCAGTGGATTAAAGCAAATAAGTGACTTGCCCAGGGTCACACAGCCAGTGTCTGAGGCTGCATTTGAACTCAGGTCTTCCTGACTCTGGGCTCAGTGCTCTATCCTGCAAACCACCTAGCTCTCTCATTCTAAAGATACACACCACAAATCCATATTTTAGCAGTGATCCTTTACTATGTGTCTTCCAAAATGTCTATGCACTATCATAAGGTCCTCTTAAAATCACTTTCATTCACCTTCCACATAGTAGGCTGAAAATAAAATAGCCTGAAGTTCTTATATAGCCATTCAATGCAAGATGTTTACTTTTTCATGAGAAACTTTCTGCTAGTTATTTAGACTTCAGTACTGCAGAGCACTATGATTCCGTCTGTTTGGCAGTCCCTGGGCTAGCTGATGCAGCTCCACTTTGGTAGAGAAAGTCTTTATGACTTGTGACCAAGTAAGTCCATCACCTGGTGATGAGTCATTCCAAATGGAGCTGGGGTGGTCTCAGAGAGCAAATAAGTAATCTCTCTATACCGTCCCACTTTGATAAAGCTTCACAAAGCTTGCACGGTTCAGGCATGGCCTAGGAGAATGCAAGATTACCTGCACAACATCCTCAATGCCAGAGTAGGGGAGACTGCTTAGTAATAAATTCCCTCAATGTCTCCGTAGGATTATCACCATCATCATCATTATTACTGCCGTTGTTATTATTATCCACACTGGTGATTTCATCAATATAGGGAACTCCCTGTTTGGGAACTCCCTCTACCCTTGCAGATCAGCTTCTCCTAGTAACTTGTGATTTTAAAGAAGGGGTGGGTGCGAAGGGGAGGGGAATTAGAAGATTTAAGTGATTTACTAGTGATTAAAAGTCTAGTATGTGTTAGAACATAACTTGAATGGAAGTCATCTGAGTCCATCACCCTACGCTGCCCCTACAAGACACAATTTTAAAATCCCGCTACAAAAGTTGAATCACTGCATAGAGTTTGGGTATTTCTGATTTCAACCAAGCTCTACTGCCCGTTGCACATGGCAAAGCAAATGTGGAGGTAAAATCTTATGTACTAGTGTGTGTATGTGTGTGTGTGTGTGTGTAATGTGTCCTCTTCCAGGAAAAGGCAAACGGGGGAGTACAGTGAATGGGAACGGGGCAGCAAGGAAAAGAAAGAAAAAAGAAAAAAAATCATCAAGGAAAAAAAACATCAACTTGAGGTTTCTGATATGCAAATCCTCTTTTGGCGGAGAAGGCTGTAGTGATTTAGATAAAGTTTCTGAACGCAGCAAAAGAGGAAGTCCCAGGAAATTCACGCGGAACCAGGTGGGCATCACGCATCCCAGCGCGAAAGCGCACAACTCCCCAAGTGCCAGGAGCCTGAGAACAAACTGGATTACTTCATAGAATAAGACAGGCAGGCAGCCAGGACTCTTACCTTCACAAACTGCAACCTTTCAGTTCTCTGCTGGGATGTCTGGGCTCTTTTTCTGAGTTAAAGCGCTCGATGTTCTTAGCCACAGCGACCTAAGAGCAGAGAAGAAACCAACTCAGCTTGCTCCGTCTGGAGGGACGTCTTGGCCCTGCGGCTGCCCCCGGAGCATCTGGGAGCCAGTCCTTCCTCCCTCGGCACCTCCTAGGCTCAAGCTAACTGGGCAGCCAGCAAACAGGAAAGAAGAGGGCGAGGAACGCCCTGCCCTGCTCAGCCCTGGCCCGGCCGGCACGCCCCGCCCGCGGACTGCCCTCGGCAACTGCCGTGGGTGGGAGGGAGGGAAGAAGGAGAGGGCGGACGCGCAGCCTAGACAAGTTTCGTGTGTGCTTGTATGTGTGTGTGTGCGCGCGCGCTCGTGTTTCTTTTTCTCTGTGGTGCATCCCATCCTTTCCTCCTCCCACCCCTTGCCCTGCAGGAAACTGGACAGGAAATATACAGGACCGTAGAGAATTCTGCCTCCAGTCTCCCCACCTCCCAGACGAACTGAGCAGCCACCAGAAGCGCAAAGTCAGCGCTTTGGCCCATCTTCAGTCAAGGGCATTCCCTGAGATGGAGCCAGACAGCTTAGACTGTCCCTACTCTATCCATCCTCAGGAGTTTCACGGGGAGTCAACAGTAGTCTATCAAGAACTTTAGAAATTCTAACTATTACCCCTCTCCATAAAACTTTTTTTTTTCCTTGCTTTCCAGGAAGGGAAAGTAAATCTAGCGAGAGTGTGGAACGCTCGCTTCTTTTGATGAGTGGCAAATGCCACCAAGCCTGAATGCCAATTTCTGAGCACTGGTCTGGTCCAACCCCGGGAACTCTGACATCCTGTGTTTCTAAGAGGTTTCCTGATGAACCAGAAGAAATGGGATTTCCCTAGTTTCACAACATGACTATTACGGAAGTGTTTTGCAAGACTACACCTGTATAGCCTATATCGAATTGCTTGCCTTTGCAGTGGGGGGGGGGGGGGGGGGGGGGGGGTGGATTGGAAGCCCAACGTATTAAAAATGAATGTTAAAAATTGTTTCCACATGTAACGGGGGGAAAATAAAATGCTGAATAAAAATAAATTTAAAAAAAAAGAAATGGGATTTCCCACGAGGTAAACCAGGGAAGTGACCCTAAATTGAAAGGAGGACTCCCGTATGTGACTTAAGAGCTAGAAAAATCAATCATTTTCGACTTCTACAGCTTTTTTAAAAGCTCAGAAATGACTCCTTAAGGTTAAAATGCAGCCATCATGGCAGAGAATAGAAAAAAAAAGCTTAAAATCTGCATGCACCTAAGGCAACACCTTAAAGCTATTTGGTTAAAAGTAGAAGGCAATAGAAGGCAAAGTCCTCTTCAAAATCTATTCACGTATTGATCAGGACGTTTTGGTTTTGCCTTTGTATCAACAGCACCTAGCAGTCCCTTGGTCTGACAAGTGCTTAATAAATGCTAAACTGAATTGAATTAGATAAACACTCAGTGTTACATATACTGTTTACAATTTATTCTGCTTTTATATAAAGAACCATATTTTTAATCCAAGTTAAAACCTTCTAGGTTCAGTTCCTTGAATTTTGCAATGGACTTTTAAAGACTATTACAACCATTCACATCATCTTACTTAGAGAGTCAAGAGAGTTTAAAAATGCTTATCTTTTAATAATTTGGCTAATTGCACTAACGAAATTTTTTGAACTGCAAAAAAATGACATCACCACCCACTTTAACTCCTGGAAACAATTTATTTTATTTGGTTAATCTCAGTTTTCAATTTTGTAATGAAGTTTTCCATGTATGGTAACATTTTTAGCTCAGTCTATTCTCTGGAATAATAAAACATGCAAGAAACCTTCTCCTTTTTGGAGGAAGAATTAGGTACAGATAAACCAAATTCACATTGTAGGTAATTTTATAAGTTAAGGAAAATTCTTTCTGAACTGGACTATTATTGTGCAAACTGTAACTTCAGTTAAGTAACCTTTTAAACGTGATAAACAACATTACTAAAATGTATTAAAGGATTGAAGTAAAGGAGAGAAGCACTAGGGTCTTGTTAGCATTGGGCTGTTGGGATATTTAAATTATTTTTTTTATTATTAATTTATTTTGATTTATCAATAATCACTTCCATATGCTTTTGAGTTTAAAATTTTTCTCCCCTTTCCTCCCCACCACCCTCCACAACACGGCACACATTCTGATATAGGCTATACATTTACATTCATATTAAACATATTTTCACATTAGTGATGTTGTAAGTAGAAATTAAAACCAATAGGAGGAACCATCAGAAAGAAGAAACAAAACTCAACAGAAAAGAAAAAAATAACAATTCGGCTTCCATAGTTCTTTCTTTGGGTGTGGATAGCATTTTCCATCACAAGGCCTCTGGAGAGGTCTTAGATCCTTGTATTGCCAGGAAGGGTTAAGATTATCAATGTTAGTCATCGCACAACGTGGCTGTTGTTGTGTACAACATTCTCTTGGCTCTGCTCACTTCACTCAGCATCAGACCATACAAGTCTTTCCAGGTTTTTCTGAAGTCAGCCTGTTCATCATTTCTTATAGTACAATAGTATTCCATCACGTCCATATACCACAACTTGCTCAGCCATTCCCCAATCGATGGGCATCCTCTCAATTTCCAATTCTTTGCCACCACAGAAAGAGCTGCTATGAATATTTTTGTACATGTAGGTCCTTTTCCCATTTGTGTGATCTCTTTGGGATATAGCCCTAGAAGTGCTATTGCTGGGTCAAAGGGTATGCACATTTTTATAGCCCTTTGGGCATAGTTCCAAATTGCTTTCCCAAATGGTTGGATCATTTTACAACTACACCAACAATGCATTAGTGTTCCAATTTTCCTACATCTTCTCCAACATTTATCATTTTCCTGTTTTGTCAAGTTGGCCATTCTAATAGGTGTGATGTGGTACCTCAGACTTGTTTTGATTTGCATTTCTCTAATCAATAGTGATTTAGAGCATTTTTTCATATGACTATAGATGGCTTTAATTTCTTCATCTGAGAACTGTCTGTTCATATCCTTTGACCACTTATCAATTGGGGAATGGCTTATATTCTTATAAATTTGACTTAATTATATATTTTAGAAATGAGGCCCTTATCAGAGAGACTGGTTGTAAAAATTCTTTCCAAATTTTCTACTTTCCTTCTAATCTTAGTTTCATTGGCTTTGTTTGTGCAAAAACTTTTCAATTTAATGTAATCAAAATTATCTATTTTGCTTTTCATAATGTTCTCTATCTCCTGTTTGGTCATGAATTCTTCTGTTCTCCATAGATCTGACAGGTAAACTATTCCTTGCCCTCTCAGTTTGCTTCTAGTATCAGCCTTTATATCTAAATCACGAACCCATTTTGACTTTATTTTGGTATATGGTGTGAGATTTTGGTCTATGCCTAGTTTCTGCCATTCTCTTTTCCAGTTTTCCCAGCAGTTTTTTTCAAAGAGTGGGTTCTTATCCCAGAAGCTGGGGTCTTTGGGTTTATCAAATAGTATATTACTATAGTCATTGACTACTGTGTCTTGCATACTTAACCTATTCCACTGATCCACCACTCTATTTCTTAGCCAGTACCAAGCAGTTTTGATGATTGTTGCTTTATAATACAATTTAAGATCTGGAATGGCTAGGCCACCTTCCCCTGCATTTCTTTTCATTAGTTCTCTTGATATTCTGGACCTTTTGTTCTTCCAAATGGATCTTCTTATTATTTTTTCTAACTCTATAAAATAATTTTTTGGTAGTTTGATTGGTATGGCACTGAATAAGTAAATTGGCTTAGGTAGAATTGTCATTTTTATTATATTAGCTCGGCCTACCCATGAGCAACTGATTTTTTTCAATTATTTAGATCTGATTTTATTTGCGTGAAAAGTGTTTTGTAATTGTGTTCATAGAGTTCCTGGGTTTGTTTCGGGAGGTAGACTCCTAAATATTTTATAATGTCTACAGTAAGTTTAAATGGAATTTCTCTTTCTATCTCTTGCTGTTGGGCTTTGTTGGTAACATATAGAAATGCCAATGATTTATGTGGGTTTATTTTATAGCCTGCAACTTTGCTAAAGTTGTTTATTATTTCAAGTAGTTTTTTACTTGATTCTCTGGGATTCTCTAAGTATAACATCATGTCATCTGCAAAGAGTGATAGCTTTGTTTCTTCTTTGCCTATTCTAATGCTTTCAATGTCTTTTTCTTCTCTTATTGCTAAAGCTAATGTTTCCAGTATGATGTTGAATAACAGTGGTGATAATGGACATCCTTGTTTCACCCCTGATCTTATTGGAAATGCTTCTAGCTTGTCTCCATTACATATTATGCTTGCTGAAGGTTTTAGATAGATGCTATTTATTATTTTAAGGAAGACTCCATTTATACCTATGCTCTTTAGTGTTTTTAATATGAACAGGTGTTGTATTTTGTCAAAAGCTTTTTCTGCATTTATTGAGATGATCATGTGGTTTCTGTTAGTTTTGGTGTTGATATGATGGATTATGCTGAGAGTTTTTCTTATATTGAACCAGCCCTGCATTCCTGGTATAAATCCTACCTGGTCATAGTGTATTATTCATGTGATAAGTTGCTGTAATCTATTTCCTAATATTTTGTTTAAAATTTTTGCATCTATATTCATTAGAGAAATTGGTCTATAATTTTCTTTCTCTGTTTTGACTCTTCTTGGTTTAGGTATCAGCACCATATTTGTATCATAAAAAGAATTTGGTAAGATTCCTTCTTTGCCTATTTTACCAAATAGTTTATATAGTATTGGAATTAATTGTTCTTTAAATGTTTGATAGAATTTGCATGTAAATCCATCTGGACCTGAAGATTTTTTCCTAGGGAGTTCATCAATGACTTGTTAGATGGGGTTATATAAGTATTTTACTTCCTCTTCTGTTAATCTGGGCAATTTATATTTTTGTAAATATATATCCATTTCACTGATTGTCATATTTGTTGGCATATAGTTGGGCAAAATAATTCCTAATTGTGTTTTAATTTCCTCTTCCTTGGTGGTAGTTTCACCCTTTTCATTCTTGATACTAGTAATTTGATTTTCTTCTTCCTTTTTTTTTTAATTAGATTAACCAAAGGTTTATCTATTTTATTGTTTTTTTCATAAAACCAGCTCTTAGTTTTATTTATTAGTTCAATAGTTTTCTTAATTTCAATTTTAATTTTTCCTTTGGTTTTCAATATTTCTAATTTGGTGTTTAATTGAGGGTTTTTAATTTGTTCTTTTTCTAGTTTTTTTTAGTTGTACGCCCAATTCATTGATCTCCTCTTTTTTTCTATTTTATTTATGTAAGCATTTAGAGATATAAAACTTCCCCTAAGAACTGCTTTTGCTGCATCCCGTAAGTTTTGGTATGTTGTCTCATTATTTTCATTCTCTTGAATGAAATTATTGATTGTTTCTATGATTTGTTCTTTGACCCAATCATTTTTTAGGATTAGTTTATTTAGTTTCTAATTATTTTTTAGTCTATCTTTCCATGGCCCTTTATTACATATAATTTTTATTGCATCATGATCTGAAAAGGATGCATTTACTATTTCTGCCTTTCTGCATTGGATTGTGAGGTTTTTATGTCCTAGTACATGGTCAATTTTTGTGTAGGTGCCATGTACCACCAAGAAAAAAGTATATTCCTTTCTATCCCCATTCAGTTTTCTCCACAGGTCTATCATACCTAACTTTTCTAATGTTCTATTCACCTCCTTAACTTCTTTCTTGTTTATTTTGTGGTTAGATTTATCTAGTTCAGAGAGGGGGAGGTTAAATAGTTTTGCTGTCTATTTCTTCCTGTAACTCCCTGAACTTCTCCTCTAAGAATTTGGATGCTATACCATTTGGTGCATATGTGTTTAGTAATGATATTACTTCATTGTCTATGGTGCCTTTTAGCAGGATGCAGTTTCCTTATCTCTTTTGATAAGATCTATTTTTGCTTTTGCTTTGTCTGAGATCAGGATTGCTACCCCTGCTTTTTTTACTTCAGCTGAAGCATAATATATTTTGCTCCAGCCTTTTACCTTTACCCAGTGTCACTCTTTTTCAAATGTTTCCTGTAAACAACATATTGTAGGATAATGGTTTTTAATCCAATCTGCTATACATTTCCGTTTTATAGGAGAGCTCATCCCATTCACATTTACAGTTATGATTACTGTCTGTGTCTTTTTCTCCATCCTTTTTCCCCCCATTTATGCTTTTCTTTCTCCTTTCTCCCCCCCCCCACTAGTGTTTTGCTTTTGACCAGCACCTCCTTTGGTCCTACCTCCCTTCTATTATCCCTTTCCCTTTTCTTCCCCTTTACCCTTACTACTTCTTCCCTCCCTTCTATCCCCCCTCCCTTTTCTTTCCCCTTTCCCCTCCTACTACCTATAGTGTAAGTTAGATTTCTATACCTAACTGATTATGTTATTCCTTTCTTGAGCCAAATCTGATGAGAGTAAGGTTCAAACAATGCTCATCTCCCTCCCTTCTTTACCTCTGCTCTAATAGGTTTTTGTCTTGTCAGCATTGGGCTGTCAGGATATTTAAATTCTGTTCCTAGTGCAATGACATATATAGCAAAGCTTTGCGCAATCAGTATCCATGCTCCATTCCTTAACTCCAAAGAACAGTCCTGAGGCCTATATTCTTCCTCTTTCTCCCAGTGATCTTTCATGAACCCCATGGGTTCATCTCTCTACAGATGACTCCTAAATTCAAATACCTAATCCCTCTCCATTTCTCTCCTGAGCTCCAGTCCCCTATCAACTAACTTGATTGCTAGACATCTTCACTTGGACATGTCCGAACTCAACATGTACAAAATGGAAGCCATTATCCCTTCCCTTTTCCTCTATCTCCTTTCCTAATTTCCCTTTTTCTGTTGAGGGCATACCCTCCTTGTTACCCAGATTCACCTCAATATCATCATCTTCTTTCTTCCTCACTCCTCTCTCCATATCCAATGAGGTGCCAAATCTTGTTGATTCATTCATATCCACCCCTTCTCTTCACTTACTTGGCCACTGCCCTAGTTTGGCCCCTCATGTTTTATCTGAATTATTGCAATAAGCTCCTACTGATTAACTCTTAATCCCTACTTCTATACAACTGCTAAATTGATAGTCTTAAAGCACACCTGACCATACTTCTCTCCTACTCAAAAAACCAAGAAATGTGCAAACTCCTGTTGGATTTTTGAAGTCTCTAACAATTTTGTTTGATTCTCTTTCTCCAGGCTTTCCTTCCCCTCACAAATATACTACTTTCCAGCCAAACTGGCCTATTTGCTATTCCTTGGTACACATTCCATCTCATACTTACGTACTTTTTGCACAGGCTGTCCCTCATTACATCTAAACTGTTACCACTACAATGGCCAGCTATTTTTCAGACAGGCACTGATAAGCAAAGGCAATGGGTTCTCAATGACTGTGAAATATTCAGCCCTGGGGAGATGGGAGCAGAGAGAAGCCAAGGAATGGTGAGAGAGAAGGCTAGACAGAGCCAAATTATAGAAAGGCCTTAAATGAAAAGTCTGAACTTGAATGTGAAACCTTTATAGTCTTAAACAAGGCAATGACATGATGACATGTCTTGGAAAGATTGGTGGAAGAGTACAGGATGGATTAGGGTCACTTTAACATACACTCAGTCATTCACACAGTCATGGCAAGTTGTTTTTTAATTTAGCAATTCATTATAAGAACAGCTCTCTTTTAAAATGATTAAAGTAAAGGGTTTGAAAGTGTCCTTTACATTTGCACTAGGCAGCTGATTGTCTAGAAGGAAAATGGTGGCCATATTTTAGATTATTGGCTTTTTTTTCACACTTCAAAGAAAAAAGAGAGAAGAGAATACCAAGTTAGGAAAAAAAATCTCTTTTTATTGTAATGATTTATTAATATATATTATATATCAATCATTTAATTTAACCCTGAAAAGATCTTTACATACACAAAGTATAAAGTTTTGTCTTGACAATAAGTGGCTCAAGAAGTGCCATTATCATAAAGCTAAGGATACAGGTCTGTATCTTAATGCTCCTAAGAGGTAAGTCATGAAAGCACTAAATAATAAATATATCAATTAAGAAAAGCACCGAGACAGCATTTTGGGTGGGAGTCAGAGTTCAATAGTTCTTATTTCAACATAAGCCTACTATGAGCAAGACCTGAATGATGCTCCCATAAGACAGTCCAAAGTCATAAAAAATAAGGATTGGGACAAGAAATAGTGGAAACATATCCATTTAAAAATAATGCAAAACAAAAATTCCTAAAGTATCTAAACACTGAGTTTTAAAAGACGATAGTGCCTCCAGAATAGTATCCATATATGATTTCTCCTCTTTTTTCCAGTTTCTTTCACTTTGAAGTTAGTTATTGGTACCCCATTCATGTTTTGCTGCTGTCACATGAAGGTAAACATAATAGCTGAATCACATTAATTTGCTGTGACTGATCTAAACCCTTAAAGCTTGAACCATTGCCTAGTACAGCTACAACCTGTGGAACAGCTTACTATTTAACAGTAAGAGAGAACAGGATTGACACACTTGTAATTAAAAAAAAAAAACCTTGACAAATGAGACTTTCTGTGAGTGTCATGTATTAAAGCATCCTTTGCATTTTTGAAGGTCCAAAAACTACAGAGATGCCTAGGAACAAACTTAAGGGTTTGAATGATAGAGGCAGAACAGGGAATTCACTCATCAGTGAACATTAGCAGAACAATGTGGGTCAGCAAAACAGTGCCTAGAACAAGGTTGTCCAGAGGCAGCACTTCAGCTGCTTTTCTACCAATATGAAATAGCTAGAGCTGATACCCAGGAACTGACAGTTACGTAAAGAGAGCGGCTAGCTGGCCTAGCTGGAGGTATTCTCTGAGAGTGAGGTTGTAAATTCCTTGAGATCTTCATACAAGGGTCCTAGAATGGCTACTAGCAGTGATAACAGATGGACCCCACAGAAGTTCCTTAGACAGACTCAAGTATAAACTTGGGGATTCCTCTTAGGTTGGCTAAACACAGTCACTGAAGGCTGGTTCTTGGAGTATGGGTACTGATCATCCTGTAAAATGGTATACATATACTATGAAGACCCTTCTCTTCCACCTCCTTGGCTAACCATTGCAGGGGGCCCCATCCTGACTGTGGGCATATGCCCTGAATTTTAAGTTATACCATTATATGATACACTGTACAACTGTAAAACGGGAATCTATTTTCATTAGTGGCAGCACTTTTTTGGTCTTAAGATAATCTACTTTTATTTCTCTCAGTAAGATTTTTCTGAACAGAGCAATAATACCAAGAAGCAAGCTTTTTTGCATGTTGTTAAGTAAATCAGGGCAAACAAAAGTAAAAAATATTGCTGGAATACGGCAGAAGGACTTGCTAGTAGTGCCCCAGAATTGTTCATTGTTGAAATCCTATAAAAAGGAGGAAAGAATGGAGACGTGTGTGTGTGTGTGTGTGTGTGTGTGTGTTCTAACTTTCCTCTTTTTCCACTTCAAAGAAAAAAGATAATCAAGTTTCCAGGTTCCTGATAGCTGGTTCAAAGTTTTCTACAGCAGACTTAAAAAATAACCCAGGGCAGCTAATTTCCAAATTTGTAATCATCCCTCTAAACATGTCTAAACAGCTTCTTAATTCAATTTCAAAATCCAATGCATTTTGAAAGTAAAATGACATATGTGCATTCTTTAAAAGCCAGTCATGAATTCACCACTTAGTAAAAAAAAAAAAGAAATTACTGTATCAAGTCTCTACCTAAGTAAGCTAAATAAAATACTGAAAAGGATACTTGATCTAGCCTCTGGAAGAGACACAGCCTGTGACTGCTTCCAGAGGAGGTATCTAACACAGCATCATCTAGTATCACATTATGTTCCAATGGAGTCATAGCTCTATCACTGAAAACATGGCATATTTCAGATATCCCCAAAGGGTAAACATTTGACATGCACATGAATCCTATTGTGATTCAATCCCTTTCAGTCATCTTATTAACATAAGTAGTACCTGGGTTCACCCAGATTTATTCTCATGAAACTAAACTCTCTTCTTTCAAAACAGTTTAACTAAAGGATTCAGTTAAAAACTGTTATTTTACATTGACCTAGGAAGGGTCAACATAAATATAACATGATTTAATTTTCATGACAGCTTTGATTTTTTTTCTTTAGTACCTTTCCATATTAATCCTAAATAAGCTTTCCTAGGACATAGTATTTAAGGAAAAACATTAGAAAAGCTGTCCTGTATTGCAGTGTTCTACCAAAATCTGTAAATGAATAAAGGTTTATCTCATAGCTGTCTGTCATTCAGTCATTGCATGATGAAAGGATATGGGTAAAGAATACAATTACAAAATATTTAACTCTGGGTCATGAACAAATTTGGATAAAACCTCAAGCCTTCCACTGAATCATCTCTGCAAAGATGGCCCATCTTTTCAGCAAGAAGCAACCTAAAGACAAAGATGAAAAGAAAATGAAATCATTTATACATTCATTCAATTAGTCGATCCACAAGGATTTATTAAATGCACACCATGCTTTGCACTAGAGACATAAAGAGGAAAAGGAAACAGTCCCATCCTTCAGGGATCTTCAATTCCATATGGGAGGGAGAACTGTGTCCATGTACACGGATACATGAGAGAGATACAAGGGGAAGGCGGGGCACAAGCATCTGTGGGCCTCAGGAAAGGCACTACATAACAGGTTGCACTTAGGCTGAAACTTGAAGGAAGGGAGGGAGTCTAAAAGGCACAGGGAAAGAAGAAATGCATTCCTGGTAGTGCAGAGAGCCAGCTCAGGGGCACAGAGATGGACATGGAGTGTCTTCTAGAAGGATGACTAACAGAATATGTAATGACAGATAAGAAGATTGAAAAGGTAGGCTGGAGGGAGGTTTTAAAAGCTTTCAATGCCACAAGGAGGAGCTTATATTTGTCCCTAGATGTAACAGAGAGGCAGCTGGGTGGCTTACTGGATAGAGCACTGAGCCTGGAGTCAGCAAGACCAGAGTTCAAATCTGGCCCCAGACACTTACTAGCTGTGTGACCTTAGGCAAGTCACTTAACCTTGTTTGCCTTAATCCACTGGAGAAGGAACTCCAGTATCTTTGCCAAGAAAACCCCAGGGACAGCACTAGCACGCTATGGTCTTTAGGGTCATGAAGAGTTGAACATAACTAAATGACTAAATAAGATGCAATAGGGAACTACTCAAGGTTATTGAAAAGGATAGTGATACTGTCTGAACTATCCTTAAGAAAATTGCTTTGGCAGCTGTGTGGTGGATGGTGAGAGCAGTGAGAGAGACAATCAAGGGAGGGAGATCAATTAGCAAACTACTGTAATGGTCTAGGTGAGAAGTGATAAAGGGTGGTGGCTATGTGGGTGGTGAGAACAGGACAGATGCAAGAGATGCTAGGGAGGTAGAGATGGCAAGATTTGGCAATCTAATGGATAGATGAGGATTGGTGAGGATTAGTTGAGGAGACACTAAAATTGTGAGCCTCGGTGACTAGAAGAATCTTGCTGCCCTTAGGAGTAACAGGTAAGTCTGGAAGAGGGGTGGATTTGGGAAGAGAAATAATGGGTTACATTTTGGATAGTTTGAGTTAGAGATGCTTATGGAGCATCCAGTTCAAAATGTCCAATAGTCAGTGATGTAGGAACCAGAGTTCAAGACAGAGACTCCAGCTGATTATATGTACGTGGGAGTCATCTGCAAAGCTTCTATAATTAAATCCATGGGAGTTAATGAGGTCACCAAGTGAGAGGGTAGAGAGAAAGAAAAGAAGCCTGAGGCAGAACTTCAGGGTACACCCATAGTTACAGGGTATGCTATGGATGATGATCCAGCAAAGGAAATTAAGAAAAAGCAGTTAATTTGGCAAGAAAAGAATTAAGGGAGAACAATGTCATGAAAACCCAGAGAAGAGAGAGTATCCAGGAGAAGAGGGTGGTCAGCAGTGTCAAAGGCTGCAGAAAGGTCAAGATGGATGGGGATTAAGAAAAAGCCATTAGATTTGGCAATTAAGTGAACACAATGATAAGTAGTAACAAAAATGGGCATCACTGCCCCAACCCAATTTACCTCTCTTTGGCTAAAAGAACAGACATTCCTACAAGTTTGGCAAATTCTTCAGATGTGAGAGATCCCTTTTCTGATACCTGTAACAAAGAACATCAAAATAAAATGTGTTATGAATTTGACTGGCAAGGCACAATACTGAGTCCTATGAATCTGATCAAGTAAGACATTTTAAAATAAATGATAAGTTCTTCAATATGTTACACATATTCAAATAGTATTAGCAATTGAAGTACATTTTCTCTACCTGTGCTTCACTCTACCTACCTCACAGGGTTATGAGGAAAGCATTATGTAAACGTTAAAGAGCTATATAAACATGAGGTAATACTACTATTACTAAGATGAGGACTCAAAAGAAAATATTTCAAAACCTAACAGTCTAAACTGTAACATCTCTATAATATATATGACAGAAGGTCTGTGCAGTAGCATAAAAGTAAGGCTAAACACTCTGAAAAGGAAGAGAGTAAAGAAGTTTATGAATCAACTTAAGTTAAAAATGTGTATGATGGGGGCAGCGAGGTGGTGCAGTGGATAGAGCACCGGCCCTGGATTCAGGAGGACCTGAGTTCAAATGTGGCCTCAGACACATAATACTTACTAGCTGTGTGATCCTGGGTAAGTCACTTAACCCCATTGCCTAGCCCAGAAAAAAACAAATGTGTATTGTGGAAACATTTGAAATCCAGAGATCAGAGAGTGGAAAGGGACCTTAGTGGATCATCTAGGGCAACTTTCCCTTTTCATGATGAGGCTACCGGAACATAGAGAAGTTCAGCAACTTGCTCAAGGTCACCATAGCTAATAAGATTTGGCAGGTCCAATGAAGACAGTAATATTTCAAGTATCTTAAATAAGTGACATCAACAGAGAAATCAGCTAAATCAGTCTGATCTAGGCTTATGGAGTACTATGCACACAGTAAGCACCCAGTTTTTCTGCTGAACTGAACTGAAGCAAATATTTTGACACAACTGCCTGACATAGAGCTCAATTATGTAATGCTTTGATTAAAAAACAAAAACAAAACAGCCAAAGCTAAGCCTCAAAGAAAATATCCTGTGTAACATTAGTCTATTTTTTCACTTATTTCTGAGTAAGAAGGGATAAGTAAACTGATGTGCCAGAGAAGCACTTAATTATGGGTTTGATCCACACTGACTCCTTAATATGCCAAGGTACAAAAGATTTGTAGGAAACTCCCAGACTGGGAATATCCTACCCCAACACTGACTGAAACCCATCAATGACTTAGTAATAAGCCTATCTCTCAGAAAGCATTCATTAAATGCCTATGATGTGTCAGGCATCGGGGAGTCAAATACAAATATGAGTCTCTGACTTCCCGAAAGGGACACAACCTATTAATGGGTAAGTAAAAACACAGGACAGATATACAAATATACACACTGACTTCTGGGGGAGGGGTGGGGGCACCAACTGTGGGAATTAGGAAAGGTTTCAAGAAACTGGTGGCACTTGAGCTAGGCAAAAGTGAGGAGGCACAGAATTTGAGGCCTGAGGGACAGGGAGGCTGTGTAGCACTCCTGGCACTGCAAAGGTCAGTGACTTGCCCAGGGCTGCACAGATCTCAAGAGTCAGAGGTGAAATTAAAACACAGGCCAACAGGATTTTATCCAAATGGTGTTATATACCATGCCAAGCTGCCTTACCCTTTAAGAACAATTTAAAACATTAGAACCTGTATATCTGAAAACATTTTTTTTAATATGGCAAACTTCAAAAGGAAATCCTGTTCTTCAAATTTTACACTTAATATGCTTAAATCATCTTTGCAAACTGTTAAAGGACATCCAGGGCACGTACTGTCTCTAAAGCTGAAGCAAGCATTTCCTCCTCATTGTGGGACTGAAGCTCAATGACCATGACACCGCTGTCAAAAATTCGGAGCCTTAAAATGAAAGATGAGAATAAGACAATAAATCATTTGGACTCTTCAGCCGCTAAAAAATTGTGGGGATTTTTATACCCATGTATAGAAGTAATGTCACAGCAGAAATAACATTCAAAACATAACACCCCAAGGAACTGTAAGCAAAGATCTGATCAAACAGTCAAGTACAGACTACTTCATGATCTCCCCTCTTAATACATTTTCAGTGGAAGAAAAGGGATAATCTGAAACCTGACTTTCTTACTTGCAGATTATATAGACCAACTCTAGACATTCCTATTTGAGAGAAGCAGACATTTTGCCCTTATGTCTTACCTCACTGCCAAACAGTCTGTTTATCTGCCCGTCTCCTACCCCACCTATAGTTCTAATAAAGATGGGAGCAGGGACCATGATGAGACATGTGATACCACTGGTAACATTTTTAACTATGCATATTCCTGCTATCCTCCACTAAAATCTATTACTATTATGTCTAATGTGGAGGTGACCCTAAATTACTAAAGGTTGTGCCAGGGGACTGAAAGCTCCGGTAGAGTTTACCTACCAAAGCAAGAAAAGCTTCAACTATGAACTTTGCAACAAATTGTACTCTATAAATGTTGTCCAAGGATCAATTTTACTAAGAGACATTCATCATAGAGTTAACCAAGTAATGAACATCCACAGCAATTTATGAAGACCTCAACTAAGGCATCAAGAGGTTACAACTTGAGTTAGTGAGAGGAATACACCAAGAAAAATCAGTATTTTGTATTTCTGCCATGATTATCACATACACTCTTAATGAAGACTCAGGGGATAGAGGAAAAAAAAAGAAATAAATAAATATATATCCATATATCTATATATCCATAGATATGTATGTATGTATGTATGTATGTATGTATGTATATGTTTAGGGGAAGCATTTGGTTCTCCAGACTGGACTCTGTCCAGCTGTTAAAGCCGGCAAAGTTAAAGCAACTGAACAAGGCCCAAGTCTCTCCCCACTCCAGTTCATCCTCTACTCAGCTGCCAAACTGATTTTTCTAAAGAGCAGGCCTGACTATAACACCCTTCTACTCAATAAACTCCAGGTGTTCCTTATTAAAAAGTCCTTCACATCCTGGTCCCTTCCTATCTTTCCAGTTTTCTTACATTTTACTTCTCTCCACATACTCAATGCCCAGGAACACTGGCCTTTTTGCTGTTCCTCACACATGACACTCAGCATCATGTGTGGGCCAGTTTTATTGGCCAAATGTCCTCCTTTCTCACTTCTGCCTTCTCACTTCCCTACTTTCCTTCAACATTCAGCTCAAATTCTCCCCTCTGCATGAGGTCTTTCCTGGTTAAACCCTATCCCCTGACCCTGCCTCTAGTGCCTTCCCTCTGAGGGTGGGGGCCACATTTTTTTCTTTTCTTTGAATGCCCAGAGCTGGCACATAATAAGTGCTTAATAAAGCTCACTAACTGACAAAGAGAAACCAAAGGATTAGTCAATTTATCCAAGTTCCGGCAAAAGGTCAGTAATAGGCTTTTAATTCCTTTTATGGTCTCAAGTTCATGACCTACAGCTGTAAAAAGAATAGCCAAAGACTCAAGAAGAATTGGGGAATGCAGAAACAGTACTTGAAGGTTAGACAGGCTAAGAGAGGGGCTGCTGATACTCAGATTCAGTCATCACACATCTCAGTGTCTTCAGCATGGAAAGCATGATTCGGGGCCTTTGCTGTGTACCATTATAAAGATCACACTCCCTTCAATGGCCACACTAATAAAATGGGCCTGGCAAACACTATTATAATTCAATCAGCAAGGAATTATTGTTCAAATTAAACACACATCTTAAGAAATTTCCTTACCTGAGAGGTAATTTCAACGCTTCCAACATCTTACAAGCATTTACTAAGTCCTCTGGTGAGAGTAGCTAGTAAAAAAAAAAAATTACCTTGTTGACATTGTAAACAAACAGATATGATGTTAAACAAACACAAGGACCGCAAACAAGAGAGAAGCCTGGAACCTAAAGGCACATTTATCAAAGATTTTAGGTGACATGACCTAACTATCTAAAGGGCAATGAGTCTAAGAGGAAATTAATGGACTGTTTTGGGAGAAGATGCCTCGATATTCATCACTAGCTTCGTACAGGCCCTATACCAGTCATGAAGTGAGGATGTGGATCATAATAAACTGAGCTCACCACCCCATTCTCTCCTGGCAATGAAGGGAGGGGGCCGAGATGTGCTCTTGGGTGGGCCTGCATGCAGTTTCCTCTGTGTCAAATTCCAGAAAGTAATTCCTTTAAGATGCAGCTCAAGCGCCACCTTCTACAGGACGCCTTTTACCATTTCCGACCACTTTACATTTAACCACTTTGTATTTATTTCATGGAGATTATTTCCTTCGTTGAACTTGCTTCCACTGTGCGTAGAACAGCCAACACATAGCAGGAATTAATAAATGCTGACTGATTGATTAAAGGAAGGCATGTGAAGTTGGAACTTCAACTTTCCTATTATATGTTAAATGATACGGGATTAAAAGAAGTTAAGACATTTTAGTTAGCTTAAACTTTAAAAAAAAAAAACTTAAAAAAATCCAACACACTAAACTTATGGAAGCAAAATCCCTTTGTAGCAAATGCTATAAGATATCCAAACTGCTTTATTTTTAATGGAATTCTGTTAAAATGTTAGAATGCTAGATCGCAATATTTAGAGCTGGAAGAAACACTAAAGATCAACTGACAGATGAAAAAAAGCAGAAAAAAATCACATTCCTAGACTGCAAGAACTGGAGAAAAAATAAAGTTAATGTCTACCAGAAATACTCTGAAGCAGGATGGGAAAGGTGGAGGGATCATAACAATAACAAGAAATATGTATTAAGTGCCTACTATATGCAAGGCACTGACTAGGTAATGGGGACAAGTCCCAAGGAGAAAACAATCCCTAGTCACAAGAAGCTAATGTTCTAAGGAACAAGACAAATACATATACAGAAATATGCAGCTTAAATATAAGGTGAATAAATACAAATAAATATAAAGTAGTTAAATGTAGGGAGAAAAACACTAGCAGTTAAGGAGGTAAGGACAGGCTTGATGTGGACGATAGTACTTGGGCTGCATCTTTTGGGAAGAGAGGGACTCCATGAGGGAGGTAAAGAGGAAGTATTTCAGGCACACAGTAGGGCCAGTACAAATGCACAGAGGTGGGAGATGAAGTAGTATGTGTGAAGAATAGCTAGAAGGGCAGTCTGGCTGCATTAGAGAGTTTGGGAGGGTAATATTGTCCAGTGAGATTGGAAAGATGGGTTGGGTCCAGGTTATGAAAGCTAAACAGAGGAGTTTATATTTTATCCTTTCCTTTCTAGAGTGGGAGAAGCTGTGGAGAAGTAGGGGAATCAGATGGTAAGATTTTTGCTCAAGGAAAATTACTTCAGCAGAGCATGGAGGGTGGATTGAAGTGATGAGAGGCTTGAGACAAGGAAGTCATATAGGTGGCTGACGCCTAGACTAAGGTGGTAGCTCAGTGAGTGCAGAAAGAAGGGGTGAGATGTGAGAGAGATTGTGAAAGGAGAACTGGCAAGATCTGGTAACTGAATGGATATGTAGGGTGAGGGAGAATGAGGAGTATAATGAGGAAGATAATGCCAAGGTTATAAACCTGGGAGACTAGCAGGATGGCTGTATCTTCAAGAGAAACAGGGAAGTTTGGAAGAGGGAAGGCTTTAGGGAAAACAGAATGAGCTCAGTTTTTCGTATGTCCTGGACTTGAGATTTCTCCAGGACATCCAATTATATTTACACCATTCAACCCTTTCCTCATCCAAGATCCTTTTGCCTTCTTAGCGTGTGGTGCTTTTGTTTAGGTGGTTGAATTTTTTGATATGGAAAAGAATAGGAAATATGAGAAGTCAAAAAGAATGGGGAGACTTGAAGTATAATTGCTACTTTACCACAGGACAAAAGAAATTCTTCTCTCTTTATCACTTCCTACTAATAGTATACACTCAAGGTCTTCAGTACAGAAAGGAACCAGACAAGGCACTGTTTACACAGCATTATCCAATGCACAGAATTTTATATGACTAAGTTAGCAAAATAGTGCTCCTATAGGCAGCTCCTCAAGTTAAGAAAATAACTTTTTCATAAATAGAATCTATCCTTGAACAGTATTCATTATAATAGGATTTTCCCTGGATTACATCAATAATGCCAAGGCATTTAGAAGTAGAATGTCAAAACTGATTTCTTACTTCCATTCCTCTAGCTCGGTTCACTAAGCAGTACACCTCCGTGAGCGACATTATTCCCCCTCGTTCCTGTTCAAATATGAAATAAGTAAATTTAATACAAAATATGGTTGGTGGCAAAGATTCCTGAAATTTGTATAACAGTATTAAATCACAATACACCAGAAAATAAATGTGCATAAGAAAATACTGAGACAAATTCCGTATTTAGATTTCAAAAATTCTTTTTCAAAATCAAAGATGGTACTACAATTACTGTTTAATATTTACTAATTGGTCAAGAAGGACTTATAAAATTCTACAATCATAAGGTCCAAGGGACATTAGATGTCATCCAAGAGGGATATCCCTATTGGAAACATGAATGTATTCTACAACAACCCTGACAAGTGGTCATTCAGATTTTTTCCACACCTCTCCAGGCAGTCCTTTGCTTTTAAGTTAAGACATTCTTGCTCATAAGTAAGTGAAATCTTCTTTCCATGTTCCACCCTCTGTTGCTGGTTCTACCCTTCTTTAATCACACAAAATTAATCTTTCTTTACATATGGCAGGCTTTTAAGCACTTGAAAAACACTATCACAACCTTCCTAAAACTTCTCTTCTTCAGCATTAGGCTGAACCCTTTTGGACAATGTATGGGGAAAATAAAAATGTAAATTGCCCTTGTATGTCAAGTTAGAATTTCTCTAACTGTCACAGAAAATTGCCTACTAATCTGTCTTAAAGACTGTTTTGTATTAGGTATTTAGGAGATGACATGAGTCAGAGATAGGAAACAAAAGGACCTCTAATAAGATGTACTAGTACACTTGAAAGTTGTACATCTAATAATAATCTATAAAGTATCAGCTATAGTAGAGATTAAATATAAAACAGCAGAAAACTATTAGCAGTTTCATTCAAACCAATTAATACTTATCTCAGAAAGAAACAAAATAATGGAATGTTAGCTAAAGGTTAATCAAACTTTAAGAAGAGTTACTCCTCTCAAGGTTCCTGATGACTTGATTTTGAAGGAATTAAACACTACTTTGCATTTACCTCTAAAGGCACCTGCAGTATTCCAGCAAGTTGTTTTGCCAGTTGCATATGGTAATGAGTGCCGGAGCCATGTGTTTCTCTGGTAACTGGATTAGCTATTCCCATGCTCAGCAAGTAGGATTTAAACCTGATGGTCTAAATGGGAAAGAGAAAGAATACACATCAATGACATGACAGTTAGACTTGTTTTTCTTTTCAAGTTTAAGACCTTTATTTCTCCTGGCCATCAATTAAATGTTTAATTAAATACTTTACTATTCACTTTTTCCTCCCTTAACCCCTCCAATTTACAGAATCTTGGAATGTAAAGGAATCTTAGGAGTCATTTAGTCCAGTCAGTACATAATCAGGAATCCTCTTTATAATATTATTGACAAAGGACCATTGAGCCTCCGTTTGAACAACTTCAATGAGGGAAACTCACTATCTTCCCAAGGCAGTTCATCACTCTTCTTGTTTTTCAGTCATTCAGTCACGCCCAATTCTATGTTATGCCATTTGGGGTTTTCTTGGCAGAGACAGTGGAGTGGTTTGCCATTTGCTTCTCCAGCTCATTTTACAGATGAGAAAACCGAGCCAAGCAGGGTTAAGTGACTTGTCTGAGGCAAGATTTGAACTCAGGAAAATGAGTTTTCCTGACTACAGGTCCAGCACTCTAGTCACTGTGCCACCAAGCTGTCCATCACTCTGGGCTAGCTCTACTTGTTAGGAATTTTTTCTTTATACTGAAGAGTCTAAATCTTTCCCTCCCTTATACTATATTTATAATCTCTCATTATTTGTAATAGGGAAAGTATTTCCAGCAATACTCTGGATAAATTTAATCATATAGCCTCCCTTTCCTTTATCTTGTCATCTTACTCTTTCCTCACCTCACCAGGCTGGCAATTAAGAACACTAAGGTAACAACTACATTTAACACCAATCACAAGGTTATCATTAGAATAAATAACCTCAAAAACCTCAATTTCAAACAATTTTGTGCCTAAAAGTTGACTTTCAAAAAGGTTGTAAAAACTATCATTTTTTATTCTCTTTTTATAATATTCCTAGCATCCTAATATGCATATTTCAAGAAAAAACTTTTAAAAAATCAACCTGTTATACCTAACACAATGACTTTAAGACAAACATCTTGTATTTCTGAAGTATTTTCACTCAATTTCAAGCCCCCAAAACAAAAACTCTGTGTTAAAAGGTTGACCATCAAAACATTTAGTTATACTGTTTATTTGTGTGTGTGTGTGTATTTGGCTTTTAGTCCTTAAAAAAACCACAAAACTATTACTTACTTCATCTTCTGTGATATCACCTTGTTTATCCTTAATTTTATTAGCTATAGATTTGGATAATTCGACCATTTCCTTTGCCTGTTGGGAAAAAAGGAACCATTTTTCTATTTATAAAATGTGCTTAAAAACAATACAATTGTTTTGAATATAACAAATATGAATTAATATACCTTAACCATGAGTTTGCTGAGGTCTTCAAAAGCCTGAAATGAAAAATAATGAAGTTTTAATGGAATGGATCTAAATGGATTAAAATGTTTTAAAACAATGGAAGTAATATTCCTTTTTCTTTAAAATTTCCTCAAAAACCCCCAAAAATGTTGAGACTGAAATCAGGAAGACTCATATTCCTGAATTCAAATCTGGACTCAGTCACTTACTAGCTATGTGACCCTGGGCAAGTCACTTAACCTTGTTTGCCTCAGTTCCCTCATCTGTAAAATGAGCCAGAGAAGGAAACGGCAAACCACTCTAGTATCTCTGCCAAGAAAACTCCAAATAGAGGTACAAAGAGTCAGACATGACTGAAACAACTGAACAACAACAAATTTTTGTTGGTTTAAAAAATAAAATGGCGTATCAGAAATAGTTAAGTTGCTTTCAGAGAACATAATTTACTTTGCCATGAATAATAAAACGCTGTCATTTGATTTCCCGTGCTAAGAATTTAAGAACCAAAGGTATTTTTTAGTGGAGTTGCTTTGCTGGCCAAAAATGGCTAGTACAGATGCAACAACATTCAGTGGGGTACACTTCTGACTTTAATAGAAGATGTGACTTTGTACTTACTTGTTTTGAATAGCAGCTTTTGTCTATGAGATTTTTATAGCTTGGTCCTAGTACAAATAATGAATCCCATGGAAGTGGTTACATGTATTCAAATTTGCCCTAGTTGAAGTTACAATTATGTAAAATATGATCATTGGTTCCAGTTCAATGGAAATATGCAGTAGAAATTTGCATAACGTGAACATTTCATGTAATTCATTGTTTGTTTGACTAATCAGGACCTGGCTGCATGTTTTTAGTGTTGGGTATAATAGATGTGGTCAGATTAAAAAATATACAAGTGCACACATGGGCGCACCCACAAACACACAGTGACAAAAAAATATTACTAGATCTACAAGCTAAAACCTCTTTCAATGATTCAATGATTAAGTCAACCTTTAATATTATATCTCAGGATACTTCAATGGACCTATGATCTCATCAATATGGGCATTCCTTCCAACAATGCCATTCATGACCCGTACATCTCATTACTTAATTTAAATGCTGAACATAAATTATCTTAATTCACTGAAATTTTCTTCCAAAAGTCATCATAAAGTTTCACTGTGGCAAGCATAGGGTTGTTGCTGATGTTCATCCTCCGCTCAATAACTATACCAGGAAAATGTAACCTTCAGCAGGTTCTCCCACGCTGATGAGGTTTTGATTAAGGTCCCAGAAACAGGATATTCTGTCTCCCAAGATCCAGCCTAGCTAAGTACAGGTGGCTTCATCATCTGGATGACTACTTGGTGACGAATTCTTTGGCCATGGGAACCCATAAGGTGAAGAAAAACTAAAAATGTTCTTCAACTCTGTGCAAGGGTAAAAGAAAAAGGAGGCAGAAGTGCTAAGAAACAGTTTTTAGACCACAAACATTGACTTGGTTGTTAGAATTCTAAACGTAAAATCTTTGTACAATGAACAACGAGTAAATATACTTACTATTAAAAAAAAGAACCAACTCAATCTTGAGATTCTTAATTGAAACCAGAAGACAAAGGGAAAGTACGGCTAAATGGAAAGAGATTTTGCAGGTTCTCATTAGAGATGAAAATAAAGGAATTGTGGTGGCTGGTTTCATTGTGCATCCAATGGCAAAAAGAGACACAATTTCATGAGACAATTATCTTTGAATGTAGTACTCATGATAAGCCGTTACAAAAAGACCTCCATGAAGACAGCTACACCTTATGTGTAGGGGATGAAGAGAAACATTTTTGATAAGACCCTCTAAAATAAATCAACATACATTTTCACACTTGGTGACTTTAATCTCAAAGTAAGCATAGAATATGGTTCAGAAGTAAGAAACAAAGACTAGTACACATTCTCAAAAGTCTTTTGTGCCAACAAATCATGAATGCTTTAAGCAAGGAAGAAGAAGGGAACAGGCATATATTAAGTGCCAACTATGTGCCAGGTTCTGTCCTAAGTGCTTTACAAATATTGTCTTGTTTAACCTTCACAACAACTTTGGGAAGTAGGTACCTTATTATCCCTATTTTACAGTTGAGGAAACTGAGGCAATCATCGGTTAAGTGACTTACCCAGGCTTCAAACAGCTAGTAAGTGTCTGAGGCTGGATTTGAATTCAGGTCTCTCCGACTCTGGGCCCAGCATTTTATCCACTACACCACATAGATACTTTAAGAAACTGGAGGGTGCTGGGCATGGTAAGCATCAAATAATATTTAAAGAAATAAAAACTTATTTATTCTAACAGAGAATGACTAATTACTGAGGTGGTAATCATTTCTGAGTCAGCTGACTATACACTCAGCCCATGGACATGTTACAACAAAAATTAAAATCAATGCTAAATTAAAAAAAAATAAAAAGATATGACACACAATTGAGGCAACTCCAGCCTAACCTATTTAAACAAGTTCTTGAAGCAAAAAAAAAAAAAAGGGATAGAAAGCAGATATTAACATAGATATGACCATTCCTAAGGAGGTTTAACCCATATAAATCAATCACCACAAGGAGACTAAAAACAGCCTTGAAACCTCCTCTGGTAGCAAATACTTGATCTTCTTGCCAAGTAAAGAAATAAGGCAGCCAAGGGCAATACCAATTTAGAATATAAACTCATTTGTAGAATCTGATAGAGGAAGATGATGGAAGATTATGAGGACTGCTACCTCATAAAAACAGCAAAACACATTAGAGAGAAAAACTAAGTCTACAGAACTCTTAAAAAGAGAACCAACTAAGTCAGATCTTGGGGGTATTTAAGGATGACATTAGAAGGAAAACAACAGACGAGAAGTTGAAACAAGTTCTAAGGATTTTCATGACAAACCTTTCGCTTGATCAATGACAGTAAAGGCACCACAAGTGGCCTGTAATATCACGGTTGAGAGAAGGAAACAAGGAGGCTTTCACAATTGCACTTTAGAGCAAA